AATGTGGCTCAGTGGTTGAGTGCCCTGAGTTCAATCCCCAGCACACACACCCCACACCGACCAAAAAAAAAAAAGGAGGAAAGATGGAGGGAATGATAGAAGTTTAAATATCAAAATATATATTTTCTGTAGTTGATGAATAACAAATAGGAGTATAATGTATTAATTAAAATTACAGAAAGGTTATTATATAGTAGAACTAAAACAGTGCTACAGCTTTATTATAACTTGGGGAAGGGGGAATATTTGTTAATAGTAGGAAGTCAATACGTTGCCTAAAATTTGATATATTAAGAAATAATAACATATACATATATTATCTAGCAAAAAACAAAGGGTAACTTAAAGAACAACCAAAAACAGAGTTTTAAAGTAGTTGCTATGGTGGTGTTGGTATTGGTAATGGGGAGACAGGACTGTTGTTCTTTAAATTACTTTCACTTATTTTTTAATCACATGCAAATATTTGATAAAAGTTTAAATGGTCTAATTTTTTTCCTCTAAATTTAACAGTATTAAAATTAAAAACTTGGATTTTATTTTGGTGGCATTTTTTTTCATAAACATTTAGTTCTTGCTTCTAATTATATGTGGCCTAATCCTTTATAGTCTGGTAATACTAATTATCTATAATTAAGAATTATGCATTTTATTAACATAAATATTTAAAATGATCTGAAATAATGATCTGTGTATTAAATATCTTAAGACAAAAATTGTTATATGCCTTGGAATGATCCATGTATAGGATGCTGTTAGCTACAAATGTTTTTTTCCTCCCTGTACAGTCTTTATGCTTTCCCTTTTTTCATCATGCTGTCACTTCCTGTACAGTATTGAATTTTGAAGTGATAAGAGCAGAAATCCTTGCTTTGTTTCTGATTCAGATAGAAAACATGGATTCTTTTTTTTTTCCACCTTTGAGTTTTATGTTATTTGTAGATTTTTGTAAATGAACATAATTAGTTTTAATAAAAATTTCCTTGTGTTTCTAGTTGGCTGAGGGCTTTTCTCATGAATAGATGTTGGATTTTTAAATTAAACGAATTTTTTGGCAGTTGTTAAAATATTTATTTGGCTTTCGTCATTATTTTGTTAATATGATAATTTACACTGATCAATTCCTGAGTGCTAATCCAGTCTTGAATTCCTGGAATCAATCCCTATTTGGTTATGTTTTTATTATCCTTTTTTAATATTGCTAGACTGTTTCATTTTTCATCCATGCTTGAATATTAGAGATATTATTCTATAGTTCTCTTTTCTTGTTATGTGTTTGATATAAGTGAATATTGACCTTAACCTATGATTTGGGAAGTGTTTCCTTTTTCTCTCATTCTAAAAGATTCCAGGTAAGATTGTTACAATTTCTTCTTTAAGAATTCACAAGTGGGGTTTACTGTGGTTTTGGCTCAGTGGTAGAGCATTTGCCTGGCATGTGTGAGGCCCTGGGTTCAGTCCTCAGCACCATATAATGATAAATAAGTAAAATTAAAGGTCTTGTATTCATTTGTAACTACAAAAAATAATTTAAAAAAAGAATTCACAAGTGAAGCAACCTAGACCTGCAGGGGCTTTCTTTGCTGGGGCATAGGGACTGACCTTAAAATTGTAAATTTGATGTATTCAGCTGATAATAGGAGTATTAAAATTTTCTGTCTTTGGTGGGTATTTGTTATTTCTATCTTTGAAGGAAATGTTTCCAGCTCATCTAGGCTGTCAACTGTATTGACATGAAATTGTTGTCCTATTGTGTTCATAGGATCTGTAGCATCTCTAGTGCTGTCTCTCTTATTCTTGATTTTAATAATACGTGTCCTCCATCAGTTTAACCTAGAGACTTACCAGTTTTTTTTTTTATCATTTCATTGAATCAGATTTCATTGATTTCTCTTTTATTTTCTGTTTCATTGTTTCTTCTCTTTATTGTTTCCTTCTGAGTTTTGCATTTCTGAAAGTGGGAATTCATATTACTAATTTTAGATTATTTTCTCTAACATGAGCATTTAAAGCTGTAAATTTCCTCTCAGTGATTTAGTTATAATCACATTGATTATATTTTCATCATTTCATTAAACATATTTTCACTTTACCTTGCAATTTCTTCTTTGATTCCATGAATTATTTAGGAGTATGTTGTTTTACTTTTCAAACATTTAGGGTTTTACTAATTATGAATCATTTCTAACTTAATTCCATTATGGTCAGAAAATAGACATTTTACAATTTTAGTCTTTAAATTTACTTATACTTGTTTTATGGTCTTCCATATTCTGTAGGCATTTGAAAAGTGTATTGTCCCATTGTGAGGTGTATTGTTCTATAAGTGTCAGTTAACTCAAGGTTAATAATGTTCAGATCACCTGTGTCTCTGCTTTCCCTCCCGGGTGGGCCCCCCCCCCCCAAGTTATATTGGTTGTTGAGAAAAGGCTAGAGAATAAATTATACTTCTAATTGCAAGTTCAGTAAAGTTACATTGCAGAGAACATTCATACAAGGACAGGAGAAATCTGTGACCATATTTTACAACTTACTAGGGTTTATTTTAATGTTTTCTGTAGTCTTGTATCTATTTGAAATTTTCCACAATAAAATGTTATGAACAGTTTCTCAGGTAATACATCATGTTCTAGGGAATGCATATTATATGCTTCATCAAACATAGGAGAAGTATTTAGGATTTCTATTTCTGTTTATTGTCATATCATTTCAAAAGTCATGTTTTGTGTTTATTTATATATATATATATATATATATATATATATATATATATATATATAGTGCATGGTATATTCAATTGTCATGTATAACTTTAAAATATAGATATATAGATATATATATGGGAGGTAGTTATGTGTTTTTTTTTCACTATTCTTGCTTAAAAAGAATAGTCTTAGCTCCATGGAGATGTCAATTTTGTTCTAAAAGCTACGTATCGTTTGAATGGTCTTGTAAAGTTCATCTTAAATTTTATGATAAAACACAGTATTTCCATTTATACTCATTTTGAAGTGCATCATTCTATCAGATTTTTAATTAAAAGATATTTTTATACTCTTGAGTCACTTTTGAGACACTGTCCAAACTTAATTGGGGAAAGAGGGAATAAGTTAATATTTCCCCTCATTAATCTCTTTCTCCATCTGGAATGTTTACTTCAACTATCATTTGAAATGAAAAAGAACATGATTTATAGGCAGAAAATAAAGAAGCTAAATTATTCTGATACTTTTACTAGATTCATTTCATTTCTCAAACCCATTCCTCCCAGCTTCTATTCTACTTTGAAGAGCAAAGAGTCATAGAAAACACATTCTAAACCCAGTTGTTAATTTTTTAAATATCCAGTATTCAGACTCATACAAATTAACTTCTTATTTGCTACTCTTAGTAAGTTTCTGAATGTAACTAGAGATTTTACATTCTAAATTTCCTAATTGGCATTTTGTCTATTAATGTGTGTGTGTGTGTGTCTGTGTGTGTGTGTGTTCCTAGATTTGCAAGGATGTGTTCCTAGAGCTTTATTAACTGAAAAATATTTTATAAGATGATTTATTTACTAGATCATAAGGCAGGAATTCAGTGATGGATGTTTGGGGAGGTTTGATATAAATTATGTTTTTTATATGGGTTATCTTCGTGTTTTATAAACCTCTATGTAATTTAAACTTTGACCAAATTTCCTCTCCCACCAACATAATATAATTAAGATTTTCCTCAAATGAAAAAAAAAAGAAAAGAAACTTTTTAAACCCTATTAGCACTCAAATTAAAGAACAACTTCTAATAAGGGTTCCAGCCAACATCATTATTTAGAGAAACTGCATTTTAGCTAAGTGTGATTTATATATTAAAGCCACAGACAATGATATATTTGGATATTAAGGTATTTGACAAAGTTCCTCATGACATACCCTTAAAGAACAGGACTAAGAAATGTCAGCTGGAGGATGATATAATTAGACTGATTTCTAACTGAGCACCATAAACACCAATTGAATTCTTGACATCTGGAGGGTTGTGGAGTCCTTTTTTTTTTTTTTTTAATTGGTGATTTGAATGGCATGCTTTTCTTCTTCATTCACAGATGATATTAATCTGGAATATGTATTCCTGATAAATTAGGTGACTGATTTGTTTAGAAAACAAAATCATCCTGATGAAGTAGAACACAGCATCTCATTAATAAAATAACTTAATAAGTTGTAAATGTAAACTCTTCCTTTGCCTTCCCTCCCAAAAAAGAAAACTCAAACTACACAGTCCACCCTTGGTATCTCCATCCCCAACTTCTTACCTTGTGACACCAAAATCAGCAGATGTTCAAGTCCATTATATAAAATAGCAGAGTATTTACATATAACCTATGCATATTCTCCCATATGCTTTAAATCATCTCTTGATTACTTATCTAATGTAAATTCTGTGTAAATAGTTGTCATACTGTAGTTCAAGTAATGACAATAAAATCGTCTGTACATATTCAGTATAGACACGTTGTGGGGGGGGGTTCCCATTTAATTATTACCATTATATTTGAAAAAAGCAAGATTTAGAATTTTACTCAAAATATATCATTATATTAATAGGGTGTCTATTTATATTCACAATGCCTCAGTTTTGAGGCATTTCTCAATTTTCTATTAAATACATGTTAGAAAATACAAAATATTAACAGTATTTCTAGATGGTATGATTTGGAGTGGTTTTCTTTTATTTTGCCTTTCCAGTTCCACATTTTCTAGAGTAAGCATGAATCCTTAATAAAACACATGGAAGACAAAGTGCTTGATTTTTTTCAATAACTTAAGTGTATGATCTGAGAATATTTTAACTTACATTGTTTCAATAATGATTTTTATCCCTCCTTTGACTGTAATTATGCTTACCATTGTGCAGAAGTCACAGTCATCTGTGGTGATCTCAGTGTGTTACTGTTATCTCACTCTACTACTGTGAATCCATTGAACCTATTTTTACTTTTTCATGCTTTATCAAAGGTTGAATTAATAAAAGGGAATTTACAAAGCGTTGGACTTACACTTCGTCTTGTTCAGTCAACTGATGGATATGCTGGGCATGTCATAATTGAAACTGTGGCCCCAAACTCACCTGCTGCAATTGCAGATCTTCAGCGGGGAGATCGACTCATTGCTATTGGAGGTAATGATGCTAATGTAAATAAATATTTAATATTTACAGAGAAACTAGAAAGTAGATGTGGAGTTTTTCTTGTCTGTCTTCTTCCTTACTTCTATAATAAGCACTTGTTAATTGTATTATGGAAAGAAATAAACTATTTTAAATGCTAGTTGGAAGGATACTTTACAAATGCATTTAAAACATATGCTATTTTAGTCCTAACATATAAATCATTAACTTCATTTTTAGACCACTTTTATGTAACTTCTCTAATTTTCCTTCTCTTCCTATCCTCTACTTCTCTTGTTTTTTAGGGTAAGTCAATAAGTTATCTTTTTTCATAATTACCACCATTACTACTATGAGTACTAGCACTATTGCCCCCATCCCATACAATTAGAAAATGAAGAGGAGAAGAAATATTATTCCTTGTCCAAGAGGATATATCTGCACTGTCCTAAGGTCCCATATTGTTTGAAAAGCCAGCTGTTTGTTAGGAGGCTGTTATTTAGAGTTCAGCCTAAATCACTGGTGGAAAAATACATCACCTGCTTACTGCATACCTTTTTATCAACCAGATTATTAATAACAGCAACAAAAACTCCCTATTAATAGGATTACTTTCTTGTATATATATGTCTAAGCACAGCACAGCCAGAGGGGAAAGTCGAACCCTTTTCTAACCTTGTGGTACCTGGCTGTTATGGCTTGTAAGAGATTTCTTGAACACATGCTTGGTCACATTTGGTCCTTTAAGGGCATTGTGGTATGTTCTTTCACAGCTAAGACACTAAATAAGATACAGCAGTTCTCAAAGCAAAGAGCAATTATCCTTGGTTACATGTTGAAAAACTGTCTTTGGTAGGGTGACCAAAGACACCTGTAATCCCAGAGACTAGAGGCTAAGGCAGGAGGATTACAAGTTCAAGGTCAACCTCAGCAACTTTGAGAGACCCAGCTTCAAAATAAAAAGGACTTGGGAATGTAACTCAGTGGTAAAGTGCCCCTGGAATCAATTTCTAGTTCAAAAAACTAAAAACCTTGTCTTTGGTTCAGTTTCATCATGACAAGAAAATAATGAAACCCAACTAAGTTAGCATTGTCACATGCTCTGATCATAGCCTAAGCAGCACTTGTCACACTTCCATGTGTATTCCTGTCATGTAGACGTGTTCAAATATGTATTTGGTAGACCTGAGGAAGGGCCCAGAATTCTGTTTCTAACAACTTCCCAGATGATGCCAGTGCTACTGGTCCATAAACACTAGGAAGACACTAGGAAAGTCATAAAATAGCCCTCCATTCATTATGTCAGCTGTCTAAAAAACTGCTAAACTCACAATTCAATATAATTTTTTTATGTTCACACATACCCTGTTTTGGTTTTATATATTGGGTGAAATTTTTTTTTTTTTTACTTTTTTATGTCTCTTTTAGGGTTTCATTTTAAATGACAGAAGTAGTGAATATCTGTAATTCAAAATAAATGACAAATTCAACCAATACAAATGTATACAGAGAATAAAAGTAAAAGTTATTCCTTCAAATCTAACATTTATAAAAATATAACTTTTATTGATTAGACAGATGCAATAAACAATCATTGACAAAAGGTTTAAAGCATAACAGAAAAACTTTACATCTCTTTCCTGGCTTTTTTTTTTTTTTTCTCCCTTAAGTACATCCTCTGCCCCAGTTCTAGGAAGCAAATTAAAAGCCTACAGTATATTTTTGGTAGTAGGCTTTTTTTTTTTTAAATATGTCACAAACTTTACCCCATGTCAACAGCTATTTTTCGTATATTTGTAATTGATTCACTTATATGGATATATAAAAGTTTTAAGGTACTTAGTATCAGGGTATTGGTGAAAGTTGAAATAAGATTGGCAAAATGTTATAGCTAAATTCATTAATAGTCCATTTTACTGGTTTTATAGCTTTCAAGGATGTTTTAAGTATTCCAAAAGAAAAATCCAAACCTGAATGATCTAGCCTGGAGAGAGAGGTACAGTAGCCATTTCCACAAGCACCTGATGATTAGAAAAGAGATGAGACAAGGACAGATTTTTTGAGTCACAAATAAATGGATTTAGGTTGAGTTGAAGTTTTTTCCTGCTAAAGATCACTGGATGGATTTATTTTTCATTTATGTATATGTCAAACTGAGGTGTTCCTGTGACATAGTGTACTTAGAGAGAAGCATTAGAAGTTAAAGCTGAAGAACCACATTAGAAAGCTCTGGATTTCAATGTGAGTTTTTTGGCCAAAGGCTTTTGAGCTGTAACTTTAGGAAAATCTGGCAGCAATATACTTGGTGATTAAAGTAGCAAAGGTCTGAGTGAGAGGTTGTAGTTGAAGACTGTTTATTTCCGTAGTTGAGGGCAGTGATCAGGAGTATCCAAACACTGAAAGCAAATGGACCTGAACTCTGAATTAGAATTGACAGATGAATGGATCTAGGGAGTCTGCTACTTCCAGGATTCAAATTGAGCTAACTGGGAGGTGGCAGGTTGATTCATAATAGTCAGGATAAGAGGATCAGAGAGTCACAGAAGGGTTTTAACTGTGCCAAAAATGTAGTGCCAAAGAAGTATCCAGATGGTTTTGTCTGGAAGTTGGGCAGTAGTGAATAAAAGGAGAAACCAACCAAAAACAAATATGCTAGTTTGTGAACTATTAGAGGGGACCTTTGTACCAGGGAGAAAGCAAAAAAAAGGCTGAGAACTAATGACAGACAAACCTTCGTAGTGACTACGTGTAAAGGTCAAGTGTATATACAGAAAAGAAACCAGAAGAGAGATGATGAGAACCAGTTTAGTACAGTATCTTGAAAGCTAAGGAAAAGAAAAGTTCTAAAGAAAAAAGAAGTAAGAAAAAATAAGTGAGGCTGAGTGTGGATGCACACCTGTAATTGGAGGAGCTCAGAAGGCTGAGGTAGGAGGATCCAGAGTTCAAAGCTAGCCTCAGCAAAAGTGAGGCACTAAGCAACTCGGTGATACCCTGTCTATAAATAAAATACAAAATAGGGCTGGGGATGTGGCTCAGTGGTTGAGTGCCCCTGAGTTCAATCCTAGTACCCAAAGGGTGGGGGGAATAGAGAATAACTGATAAAGCAAAATCCTGAAGGAGACAGGAGGGCAGGATCAAAAATATAAAAAAGGGATACTTCCTCCTCTGAAATAAAATAAAATAGTTACTGGCAGGGAGTTCAGGTAACTTCATGTGGTGCTTTTTGGTTAGTAAGATAGATGACATCTATCTGCAGAGAAAGAGTAGGGAGGGTTGAGCTTCAGGGAACAGGAAAGGTTTAAAACTGTTGATTTGGAATCTTAATTGTTTTATTAGAGAGCAATCTAAATGCTAAGCAGCACTGAACACCTTGCCGAGGATGGATAGCATGACTCAATTCTAGATCCAGATGGGAAGCTAAAAAGCAGGAAAAGGGGATGGAGGGCTAGCAAATCTGAGGATTAATTATTAAAAAAAAAACCTAGAAGAGGAAAGGGCTAGAACAAGAGAATCACAAATATTTGTGAGAACATTATTTTGTAATCTTGACACTTAAGTTGGATAGCAAAGCATGTGATATCAGAAGACCAGTGGGACCATGCAAAGAAAGAAGGAATGGTTGGGCCAGTAAACTACCTAAAAGCAGAGTCAGCAGACAGTATTGTAATAGATGAAAAATTGGAGATGTGGTCAGAAATTAATTTAAAATGAGAGATCTTTGATATGGGAAAGTTAAACTTGATGAGCAGCCTACAGCATGATCTTTCCAGGCACTGAAGTAGATCACACAGTTGAGGAACTCTGAGATCAAGGTATTAGAAGGGGCTGGTGTTAACTTTGATTTATTGAGGATGGCCTGGAGACCTTTGGAAAACAAGGACTTTTTCTCCAAACTCTACGTAAGAAATAAGTACTATCTGAGGAAGTTGGGAAGACTTGCAGGAAACAAGTCACATCTTCAAATGACAATACTTCTAGAGTATGTTTAACACATTGGGTACCTTATGGAAGGGACAGAATAGCTAGAAGGTAAAGGTGAAGAGTTTTTCACTCTGTATCCATTTGTGTCTTTTGAGTGTTAAACTCTGTTGGTATCAAAATTAGAAAATAATAAAATTTAAGATAGATATTCCAGATTTAGATAGTAACCAATTTGTTTAACTTTAAGCAATTTATCCCTTGTTTTTTCACATCCTGAAACAAATGAGTTGTGTGGCTGTAGCTAATAGAAAGAATCTGAGAGAGAGTCCATTGTCCATCTTATAGTATTTTGCTACACTTATTTTAAGCATTGGTCTCTTGATTTAAGTCATTTGGCACATAGCTTGCAATCTCTGGGGAATATTTTGGAATTTCTTTCAGTGGAATCATAGCTTCTCATCATTCTAAGTCTGGTTTAACCAATAACAAAGCCCATTTAAATAGGTCTCTGTCTGCTCACTTTCTCATTTCAAACTCAGAAGTAATGTCATTTAACCTAGGAAAGAATGGGAAGCAATTAGCAGTTAATAACCAGGCTGACAAGGTAAATTTCCAGAATATCCACACATTCAGCTAAGATTCAGTACAAGAGTCAAAAGTCAAATATCCTTAGGTTTCCCTATTATTCTTCCATAAGGTAAATAATTTTTTTCACAATGAATTCCACTTTTATTAATAATAATAGAAGGGAGATCGTTAGAGTAGAGCAAATGGATGGGCAAAAGGAGGAAAAGAAGTAAAAGAAAGGTACAGGGGGAAGAGATTGATCAAGTGCATGTATAAATATGACAAATTTCACTTGAAATTCAGTGCCAGGAATTTAAACATTTACCTCTACAGACAATATCATACATTTGTGTTGTTTTTTGGTTAAATAATTTTGAGGTAATAGCAATTATATTTTAAAAATTAGGCAGTTTTTATTGCAGTAATTTACATGTTTTCCCTTTTAAATCTTCAACCAGGTGTAAAAATTACATCGACACTACAGGTGTTGAAGCTTATCAAGCAGGCTGGTGACCGAGTCTTGGTGTACTATGAAAGGCCTGTTGGCCAGAGCAATCAAGGTACTGTTCTGCAAGATAATTTTGGCCAGTTGGAAGAAAACTTTTTGTCAAGCTCATGCCAACCAAGTTATGAAGAGGAAGCTGCAGGACTTGCAGTGGATGCTGAAAATAGAGACCTTGATTCTGAATTTGAAGATTTGGCAGGTGATGTCAGAGTACAAAACGAGTTCAAAGATGAGGCACAGTCATTAAGTCATAGTCCCAAACGTACTCCAACAACACTTTCTATTAAACCTCTTGGCGCTATATCCCCAGTTTTAAACCGTAAATTAGTTACAGGAAGTCACCCACTACCACCAAAAATTCCAGCCAAAGAAGGAAATAAACCGCCAGCCCTAAAAACTTCTGAGGTACTAGACCCAGCACAAGTGTCAAAACCCACCCAAGGATCCACTTTCAAACCACCTGTGCCACCACGACCACAATTAAAAGTTCCTTTGCCTTCTGCTGACACCCCAAATCAGGCTGAACCAGACATTCTTGTTGAAAAGCCAGAGAAGGTGCTTCTTCCTCCTCCTCCTGCAGATAAATCTGAGAAGCAAGCAAAAAATGTGGATCACATAGAAGATGTGACTACATCTAAGCAGTTTATAGCAAAGCAAGAAATGACTAAAGATTTTACTTCAGAAGGTTCTTGCCCTACTAAAGACAGTTCGGATGACCATCAAATGTGGGAGTCATCAGAAATTCTTTATCGGAATAAGCTAGGAAAGTGGACAAAAACCAGAGCATCCTGTTTGTTTGATATAGAAGCCTGCCACAGATACCTGAATGTTGCACTGTGGTGCAGGGATCCTTTCAAGTTGGGAGGTCTCATCTGTTTGGGGCACATTAGTTTAAAACTTGAAGAGGTGGCTTTAGGATGCTTAGCTACATCAAACATGGAATACCTTTCAAAATTCAGACTGGAAGCTCCTGCACCTAAGGCCATGGTCACTAGAACTGCTTTAAGGAATCTGAGTATGCAAAAGGGCTTCAATGACAAATTTTGCTATGGTGACATTACTATTCACTTCAAATATTTGAAGGAAGGAGAACCAGACCACCATGTAGTTACTAATTTAGAGAAAGAAAAAGAACTCCATTTGGTTGAAGAAGTTTCTATCCTGCCTAAAGAGGAGCACTTTGTTGGACAGATGGGTTCATCAGAAAGTAAACATAGTTTCCAGGATACTCAGTTCCAAAACCCAACTTGGTGTGATTACTGTAAAAAAAAAGTTTGGACAAAAGCAGCTTCCCAGTGTATGTTCTGTGCTTATGTTTGCCATAAAAAATGTCAAGAAAAGTGTCTAGCTGAGACTCCTCTTTGTGGAGCAACTGAGAGACGAATAGACCGAACCCTGAAAAACCTTAGGCTAGAAGGACAGGAACCCCTCTTGGGCCTGGCTCCTCGTGTTGATGCCGAAGCTAACAAGTCAGTTAATAAAACGACAGGTTTGACAAGGCACATTATTAATACAAGCTCTCGTTTGCTAAATTTACGTCAAGTCTCTAAAACTCGCCTTTCTGAACCAGGAACCGATCTCGTAGAACCTTCACCAAAACACACACCCAACACATCAGACAATGAAGGCAGTGACACAGAGGTCTGTGGTCCAAACAGTCCTTCCAAACGAGGAAGCAGCACAGGAATAAAGTTAGTGAGAAAAGAAGGTGGGCTGGATGACAGTGTTTTTATTGCAGTTAAAGAAATCGGCCGTGATCTGTACAGGGGCTTGCCTACAGAGGAGAGAATCCAGAAGCTGGAGTTTATGCTGGATAAACTACAGAATGAGATTGATCAGGAGTTGGAACACAATAATTCCCTTGTTAGAGAAGAAAAAGAGACAACTGATACAAGGAAAAAATCACTTCTTTCAGCTGCTTTGGCTAAATCGGGTGAAAGACTACAAGCTCTCACACTTCTTATGATCCACTATAGGGCAGGCATTGAAGATATTGAAACTTTAGAAAGTCTATCATTAGACCAGCACTCCAAAAAAATAAGCAAGTACACAGAAGATACAGAAGAAGATCTTGATAGTGAAATAAGCCAACTGATAGACTCGCAGCCATTCAGCAGTATCTCAGATGACCTATTTGGTCCATCCGAGTCTGTGTAACCAACAGGCTGTGTCAGCTTTCAAATGATTGGGGAAAAGATGCATCTAAAGTACCATGGATACAGCCATGTTTCAGTTCTCTTATAATGCACCTCAGCCTGCTGCTCCAGTTATTTACTTGTATAAGAAAGAACAGGAATGAGTTTGTTTTCCAGTAAAAATATGACCAGCTCATTAATTGGTTGTTTTGGGTTGCATTTATAGCTATGCTTTTTGGGGGGTTTATACTGGGAATTTATTTTTACTAATTTATTTTTAACTTTTTCTAATTATGTAAGCTAATTTGTCACATTTATGTATGTGTGGTGTCTCACTGTGTTATTTTTCCTTCAACTTAGTTTTTGAATTAGTGTTAAATAGGATATTGTCCAGACTCTTAATATTTTCATTTCCATCACGGTTATAACAACAGTTTTGCTGCATGCCCAAATTGACAACAGCAATCTTTGAGGGAACAGGTTTTGAATCTTTTTGTTTTGTTTTTTGTTTTGAAGTTTGTCATTTCTACTTGCTTGAGATTTTTGTTACTTTGGGGCTTTGGGGGGCTTTTTCTTTTGTTTTTGCCAAATATAACATGGAAGCAGATGCTGCAGTTTTAGTCTGTTATGATGATTTAGTAAAATTTTTTTTTACATATATTGCTTGCTATCTATGCTTCTGAGATTTTTGTCTAAAGCTTGTGTGCAGCTGAAGTATAGTAGATACATAGTGATGAATCTGAAGGGCTTGCATTGATAAACAAAATAGGGAATAATAGAATACAGTTGGTCAAGAATTTTGTAGAAGATAACAAGATTACTGAAAATTAGTAGCCAGTAGGGTTTTGAAATATTTTTTCAATATTTTTCAAAATTTCAATTCTTTCCTTTTAAATGGAAGTCCTAAGCATTCATGATTTTTTTTTTTTTTATCTTCAGTTCTCCCATAGGAAATAAAGCATGTACAAGGATATTTAAAGTTTCAGAGGACTGTTGTTAAATGACTATTGATAATTGGTTTTGTTTTAAAAACATGCTCATGTAGGAGTATATATTGTGAAGGAGAGGAGTTATGCAAAGTGTATTTATTGCTTCATCTATTTTACAGGCTTAAAGGAATAGTGATCATTCTGAATATTTCTGTAGTGCAGACTGTCATTCTTTTTTTTAGAAAGAAAAAAAAATAGACCATATACATAGGAATTGGAACCAGTTCTCTGAAAATGAAGATCTTCTCTGATACTGGTCCACTTATTGATGCCAGTAACACATCTGAGGGAAAATGTGTAAACTTGACCTCTGTTTGTATACCTTAATAGTTTGGGCCTATTATATGCCTACAAAATAAATATATATATTTTTCCCCTTTTATAGGTAACTAGTCTGATAAGTTGATAATCAACATGACTTTAAAACAAGATGAAACAGCTTTCATGGTGGGCAAAGAAAGGCACAGTAAGGATTGTGACCCAGGACTCTATATAAGAGTTTAAGTTCAAGGTCTTCCCTTAATGAGCTGTCAGCCATAAGCAAGTCACAGAAGGGCTCAGTGCAGCCGTTTCCCATCTGTAAAGCTAGGATAATACTACTTACTCTAATAACTACCTCACAGGGTTGTTGTGAGGAAAATAGTAGCATAACTACAAAAGCACTTTGAACAGCAAAAAGCTATACAGATAGAAGATATTATTTATATGAGAAAAACATTTTTGAGGGTAGAAAAGTCATTCCACTTTTAAAATCAGTAGACTACTAAGGAAAATATTAAGACACTAAATATCTTTCTTGGCCAGGTTTATAACAAGAATGTATGTGAACCCCCTTTCTCATTGTTTACGCATGCTCGAATTTTAAAAGAACACTGCTACAGCAGACTTTCCACACCAAATCCCTTGAAAGCTAAAATGTCCCACAACATATGCGTGAACCTGTCTGCCCAATGTATAACCATGTTTCCTATTGTAAAATAACTTACCATTGCTAACCAGGAAGGCGGAGTATCTAAGTGGTTGGTGTTTATAGATTAAACCATGGGAGTTTTAGTGACATCTAAACATGCCCCTGAAGCTGTTGCATTTGAAAGAGCAATGGAGATAATGCAAAACTTTGATTTCATAAGAATCTACTCATGTTTTAAAGTATTTAACTCTTTGAAACCACAATTATGGAAAGCTCAGTAATGCTGCTAATGACATTTGTAAAATATACCTTGAATGTAGTGCAATATTTTTCTATCTGCTGGAAGAAGCAGTAGAGGCATCTCAGTTGTACTTTAGTGCAAGGGGGGAACACTCCAGACAGCCTAGAGTATAGTAAGGTATAAGGCTTCAGTGAAAAAATTGTATTATATTACATTACTGATGTAATCTTGCTGCCATGCTATGTTATCAATAGCTAAAAATAATAAATAAATAAAGACTACCACAGAAAAAAAGAATATCTTCATTTGATGCCATCCAAAAAAAAAAAAGTGATTGCTGCATCTATGTGGAATTATTGCCTGGTATAATTTGGCCATGCAGATAAGCTACTGAAGTCCACTTTTACAAAATGAAATTGCAAAAACAATTTTTTAATTGTTGTTTTCTTAACTTGTGAAATACCATATTTATGGATTTGCTTCTGCTATATAGTAATAATTAGACTACTAGAGTGTATATTTTCCATATTGGTATTTACATGAATGGGTTAGAGAAAATGAGCAACATTTTGGCATTATTTTGCAATTATAAAATATATGCTACATTTCTTAATATCAGGAAACATTCTTCAATATCAGAACTAGTTGAAATATTTATTATGTGGATATTTTGTGATTCTGAGGGAAGAAAGCAGTATAAAAACTTTGAGGGTACTACCAAGTTCTAAATTTAAATGTATCTAGATTTTTAAAAGGCAATTTGAAAACATTTGGCTCTAGTAGTAGGATAATGAATAAGATTCTCAAGTCCTCTAAAAGTGAATAAATTTAAAATCACTTTAAATCTTTTTTAAAATGTTGTCTTTGTTTCTAAATTGAGATAATAGTGTACCCCAAAAGAGTGGGAGATTCCCCTCATCCTTTTTGAGTCCCGGATACCCTTTAAGGTCTGGTTAAAACTGTGGACCCTCAGCCCTGGAAGCTGGATCATGTTCACCCCATTCAGAATGCCCCTGATTTCAAGGGTTTTACAAAACTTCCAGGACCCAGGGGCCTGGGTACATTATGCCAAATGGCTGGATATTATAGTTCTTTTTATCAGGTACAGTTAACTTGTTCACAGCAATCAGAATAGTAATGCAAGAGTAGAAGTTTGGGGATAACTATTTTCCACATTGACATAATGTGCCTAGTTACATATTTTTATTTAAAACAAATGTGGGAAGCTAAAAAGTACACACTAACCTGGAGTGACTTTTAATTAAGCCTGCAAGCATAGAAGAGTTTTTAATAAACATCCATAATCAAAATGATACCTAATATATTTTATTCCAACAATATTTGGTTTATGAAAGAGTACAAACAGGCACAGTATAGTGTGATCAGGTTTATTAAATAGGCTAGCTAAAACATGATTAGGACAGATACACAATAGCAGTCAAAAGAAAGATGAGTATTCATTACTACCTCATTAAGGTTTTTGTGTCTGTATTACCAAGTACAAACATAAAAGCCATTTCTTCAAAAAAATAAATGTTCAGAGAGCTGTATGTTCTTTGTTCTGATATACATGATACAGCATCACCCGTTTTCACAGTCTTGTTAATCCAGAATATTAGTCATATAAAATACCTTATCATTTTTCTCCTTAAATACATACATTTCTTTTGCTCCCCAAACAGTTCTCAAAAATCCATCTGTTTTATCTTTTTCCTAGGGATCAATAGCAAGCATGCCTTTGCCAGTTATTCTTAACAGAAGCTGAATCCTTAGAGGCAAAAGTAAAATAGGAATAAATTATAAAGTATTGGGGCAGGGAGAACCACAAGTCCCTCTAAGAAGCAATTTGCAGCACACTGGTTCTTTTTTGTTTGTTTTGGTTTTGCAATGCTGGGGATTGAACCCAGGGCCTCAAGTGTCAGGCAGGCTCGCTACCGCTGAACCACATCCTCAGCTCCTAGTATATTTTTTTAAAGGCTATTCTGTACAAGTGAAAACAATCCTGCTGTTTTGTTTTGGCCATATAAGAATTCCTCCAGAGCCATCTTCCAAAGTAGCTGACTTGTGTAATAGTCCACACTACTGAGTAGGAAGCTTGTTTTTCTCAAACACACTGCCCTTGGAAACCAATCATCAAATCATCTAATCCCCATGGAAGAGCTTTAGAAAGCAAAAGAAGTACTAGCCACTTTCCTAGAGAATATGTAGTAGTCAATAAGGTTGAGAAGTCTTTGTTCTAAAGATCTTTGCTCCTTGATGTCCAAGTTAACACACAGTTTACTGAACCAAACTGACATGAAGTAATTTATGGTTACAGAATTGTAGAATTAGTATTATTTGGGATATATTCCACACTATCTTCACATTCCAGTCATACCTCATATGAAACAATGTAAACAACAATATTCACTAACAGTATTTGCTGGTACACTAAAAAGACATATCAATGTTATCATGCTTAGAAAATGTTTATTACCCAGCACACAGATGATATGGTAACACACACATTTTTATGTTTGGTTTTTCTTTTCTGCCTGGGAAAGGAGATGTGTCCTGACCACCTTATGAATTTTATCTGATTTTCTAATGTGGGATTAAATACATAAACAATTTAATTCCATTTTTGTTTAAAATTTGTTTCCACATTATGTGAACAACTTTGGGGAGTCAAAAAATAATAGTTTTGGACAACCAAAAATTAATAGATCCCTAAAAAAAAAAAAACACTTGGATGACCTACAGACCGGCTGAAGATATTACAGTCTGAGTTTTCAATTTATAGCAGCAATTAGCCTTGTTTTATTTTTTCCAAAAATTTTGAACTAGATGTTGACAAACCTTACCTTGCTTACACAACCTTAACAGTGTAAGGTGCCTGTACTCCCCATTCTCACCCAATAAGAAGAACTACACATCTTACAAGGAAAGCTTTGCTTCATAACTTGACATTTCGGTGCTTTTCTCTGCTTTCAGAACATTTACTATTTTCCCATGTTGGCTTTAATGTTTGCTGCCAACCACAGGACATGTAAACATAATTTACAACCATCCCTTTCCAAGTAGGTGATTACGTAGAAAACTAATGCCGGCGAAAGATTTACAGATAAATCCAAAAGATACTGACTTGAGTTCTTGTCCTCTGCACTTGAGAAAACTAGCTTTTAACTCATAAATATACTGATAGTAATTACAAGTTAAATAATACTCTCAGTGTCGCTACATAACATGCCGTCTTATGTGATTGTTTTCAGACTTCCTTCTAATTTCTCATTGTTGGAAGAGTCAATGTGTGCTTTAAACACTCATTACCAATATTCAGAAAAAATATAAGATATTTTTGTCCAAGTGTTCGTGAATGTAAGTTAAAAAATTATATTTGATTTGGATTCAAATATTTATAGATTTACAATATACCTATTTCGTCAAAATATATTGTATAATATTTAATAAAATCAAATACATAAAATAAAGTTTTCAACACTATTTATACAAACCCCTAGAAAAGCTTCTTTTTCTTTATAAGGCTGTTGGCAGTCAATCATAACCACAGAAAAGAAATAATAACCTTTGGTTGTTTTACTCTTTCGCCAGGGATGGATGGTATGACTAAGACAGCTCCGGATGAGTCATTTCACTGGAAACACTTGTATACAATTAAACACCGATGATTTTTGAGGGTCTCAGTCACTTTCTGATTCTTCATCATCACCTATCGGATATGACTGGATATTATTCTGAGTGTACATTTTTGTTTTAATGGGGCAGTTGTGATCCATGAGAATAGCCTAAAAAAGAGCACAGTGCAGGTACATTAACTTCCTGTTAGGTAAAGATCAGATGGAATTACTGTTTAGGGATTAGTTTGAAAGTGCTGTACTATCTGCTATTACCCAGTCATTTTGGCACAATTGCCAGGTACCTGGCCTAAAAGACTTGGAATTCTCTGCTGTGTGGAAATTCCCAGTGGTAGGAGATAGCAGAAATGGTCGTTGCCAAGTTTTCATTTACCTTTTCAGGGAAAAGTCATTTCTGGGAATTTAGATGCTGTGCTTCAAGAGGTTAGGTTTAAGGAGAGTTATACCTAGGTTCTGGGAAATGAAAGTGGGGACTCTGGGGATCACCCAGTCCAACTATTGTGACAGCACATTTTATAATGCTTCTTGAGGGGAGCTCACACTTCTTAGAAACCTCTGGAAGTCTGGACTACAACCCACTCACTCCATTATTTCCATTCATAGATGTGGTTTTGATATCAACCATATACACACACTGTCCTGAGATTAATGTGATGTCCAGACCACTTCTTCCTCAGATCCTTGCTGTCCTCATCCATTTGGTATGATTATTTTTAATGTGTTTCTCCTCTGATGAACATAAAAGTCTCGCCTTCTTATTATTACTAAAAACTTTTTAAATAGTGTGACTGAAAAAAAACAAGTGATGCCTTGTTTTCAAAGCAAACTCAACCACTAAGCACGGACAGCCGTTCTTCCTCCTGAAATGTGTGGAACCAAGCATGCAGGCTGGTGACAGCTGGTGTTTACCAGGCTGGGACTATACTAAGCATTTTAGATGCAATTCCTGAACTCCAGAATAACTCTGTGTGGTAGGCTGAGGAAGCAGGCACAGAGTGGTTATTGGACCAAGGGATACACAGCTGTCCCTTGAATTCTCAGGGGATTGTTCTAGGACACCCCCCCCACACACACATACACACACACCAGGACACCAAATCTGTGAATGCTCAAATCCCCTATATAAAGTGGTGTAATTGTTTGCACATAACCTACACATACTGTATACTCAAAAATCACCTTTAGTTTACTTATAATACCTAACACACTGAAGATGCTGTGTATAGACTTGTTATGCTGTATTTTTAGGGAATAATGAAAAAGGTTTGTATATATTAGTACAGATGCAGTTTTTTCAAATATTTCAAACCAGTTGATTGAAGCCACACACACAGAACCCACAGATGTGAAGGTCAACAGTATAGCAGAAGGTGACAGGTTGAGGGAGCCTCCACAGCCTCAGGACAAAGGTGTGCGACACACCCAGGCAGCTGGAAACGCCGAGGCCATTGGTGGGACGCCACATGCAACTACAGTGGATTCTCTCTCTCCCCAGGTACGTCTCCTACAGTTTTCTTCCCTTTGCATGAACCATTTCTCAACCCTTTTTGTGTAGTTTGAAAATCTAAATGGATTAGAATGTTCCTGATGCTGGCCTGTTGCAACCTATCTCAGTGTCTGTTAGCTATTACCCCAGCTCTTGTCCTGCAGATGTGATAAGAGTCCAGTCAATGCTTAACCCATTTATCATTTCCCAAGAAATTCTCAAATGATTTTGCCTGTGTGACACATAAAGATAAGACTTCCTTGACCTCAGAGTCAAGCTGCCAGCTCACACTGTCAGCTTTGGACTTAACTGTTTCTGATTATACTGCTTGCGGAGTGAATTGATGCTTGTATTTTTAAAAAGAGTTCAATTTCTAAAAATAACTGAGGCAACAGACATCATACGCCAGGACCATTCTCCCTATGTTACACAAAGGTTTAATTTAACCCCCTAGTAGCTAACTGTCTCATCTGCCCAAACTAGTGATTCTCAAAGAAATGTGTCCAAGGATCACTTGGGGGTGGGAGGGGTGGCGCATGGGTAATGGGTATGGAGCGGGTTAAAAATGAAATTCCAGATCCCTACTTTCATGTGATGGTGCTATTGATGCTTTGAGAAACACTCCCCTAGTTATAAGGCATTTTCTAAGCTGGATGACTAAGCAGTCATCCAGCCATCAAGAACTTCCAAGACACCTTCTAGAGTGTCAGCAACTAAATTACCTTCCTGCACAAGTAAGGCCAGGTCCTCCAGGGTCACAGGTCAAGTGCTTACTGTGGGTCAAGTGCCAGAGAAGGTTATATGGAAGAAAGGGAGTTGAGAAAATCCTTGAAAGATGAAAAGATTTGGACAGCAGGGGAGGAGGCCATGAGCAAAGCATGCATTATTCAGCAACAGGGCAGCAGGAAGCCGCCTGACCATCAAAGATCTGGGGAGGAAGCAATGTGAGAAGTCAGTCGGAAGTCAGAGCCAGGAATGCCAAGTGGGCCTTGAGCCACACTTGCCCAAAGGCAGCAAGACTTCCTTCGGAAAGATGGCCATCACTACCTTATGATTGCCTTCCACTCTCTGGCTCACTCACCATTACACCTGAATGTGTAATCTTAAGGATCCCCTGAACCTAGGACCTGGCACAAAATATGAACTTACTAAAAAATTACATTCCTGAGGGGAAAGAAGGGTAAGGTACTAGAGAACAAGATTAATAAAATTATGTGCATTTATGAATATGGCATAATGAATCCCACCATATGTACAACTAAAATGCACAAAAAAAAATCTCTATAAAACTGCATTGCTGGGCTGGGGATGTAGCTCAATGGTAGAGCACTTACCTAGTATGCTGGAGGCCCTGGGTTCCATCCCCAGCATTGCAAAAAACATTTTTTTAAAATGCACTGCAGGGTGAAATTTCTATCAGGCTGATTATTTGGCATTATACAGAAGTAAATGACCAGTATTTATCAACACAGCCAATGGTACTTGGCTACACAGTCCAGTAAAGAAGTTTCTTCCATGAAATACTGTTTCATAGCTTCTAAAACCTAGCTCACTGGCTTCTGAACCTGTCTTGAAAGAGTAATTATGAAATTGTACTTTTTTTTTCCAAAAAAGTAATATATGATTAAATAAGGCAGATGGCATGTAATATTGCAAAAGCACCATGAAAAGCAAGCACAAGCTGGGAGTGGTGGCACACGCCTGTTGTCTCAGCAACCCAGGAGGCTGAGGCAGGAGGACCACAAGTTCAAGGCCAGCTTGGGAACTTAACTGTCTGAAAGAAACAAAAAAGAGGGAGGGGCTGGAGATGTAGCTCTGTGGTGGATCACCTGAGGTTTGATAGAAAGGGAGAGAAGGAGAGGGGAGGGAAGAAGGAAGAGGGAAGGAAAGAAAAGCAAGGCACAAATAGTGTAAGTGGGTCTAAGTCAAGTTCATGATGAGGAGCGGGTCTGTGGAGCAAGCAGGCAATTTGTGTGTGTGTGGTGGGGGAGGTCATTGGGGCTAAAACCCACGGTCTCATGCATGCTCGGCAAGTACTCTATCACTGAGCTACACCACAGCCCACACAGGTCCACAATTTAAACCAGCACTCTGTATGTTGCTTTGGGGAGAAAGGTGTGTCACCTCACAAATGAAGAGAAAATCAATAGGAGGCATTGGTGTTTTGAGATAGAGCAAAGCCCAAATGGTAAGAGCCAAGGGTAGCCCCTGCAACACCTAAGCTCATGTCAGATACAGAGCAAAACCCAGATCTTAAGGTAGTAAAACCATGTCAGACCAAATGAAATGTGATTCTGGGCTAAGGAAACAACAGTTAAAGCATTAGAAGGAAAAAGTCCTAGTCTTGGGGACTTTGAAAGGTACCATATCTAGTAAAAAAAAGTTTTCCTTTTTTCTCTGTTTTTAATGTACCTAGGGAAAAAAAAAAGTGGTTTTGTACCCACTGTGTAAGTGCCTTGCAAAGGAACAGGTTTCCACAAATGGATTGCAATGTGTAGAGCATATCTGGTCTTTAGCCTCTGGCCACCCATCCCTGCCCAGCCCATGGCATCCAGGAGACAGGGTTGTTGGAGGACCTATGGCACCACTATCAGAGCCATCCAGTAAAAGCAATTGGCAGTTCTCCCACTACAGAGTCTTCTGCCCTGGCAACAATTAGGAACTTCAAGAGCAAAACTAAGAACCCTGCCCTGCCTTTAAAAATTATTATTATTCAACCTGGAAGAGAAAAATCCATACCAAAATTCAGCTGGATATTTTGAGAGTTAAGGGCTGCCCTGAATTGCCTTGTCCCTGGGACAGTTTTCCTAATGGCAATATGGAAATTCCTTATATTTACAGAGGGACTCGAGTATCCGTGAGGGTTTTGTTTTGTTGTCCTCTGCCTATATTGTTAACGCTGATTATAAGAAACAGAAATCCAATAAACCAAATAGAAGGAAGACTCAAGTGCTTACAAGCTAATTCATGATTCTGTGAGTTGTGATCTATGAAAGTAGCATCAGGTCTTTCAATATAAAAGAGGTCAAGTCTGAACACCCTGTTATCAGGACACTGTCTCATGAGAGAACTCTGCTAAGGGTGCAAGCCGCCTCTGGCTCTCGCATCCCGCTGCCTTTGGTTACTGCTGATCCTGAATGCCAGCACTTGTCTCTGCTGAGTTTTCTCAAGTGCACGGTAATTGATTCTTTCTCCTTCATGGCACACAGTGTCCAACCCGCACATCCCCTTGTCATTAGGTGCTATATCAGCTTCCACCCACTTTCTTCCTGCTCTGCTTGCACAATGAGCAGGCAGCAGCTGCTAGCCAACACCCTCAAATGTCACCACCATGCCAGTCAAATGGCATCCTTCATTATGGGCATCAATTATAGGCAGTGAGATGCACATTTTTCTCAAGATTTTAATGGTTTATCTAGCTAGGCACTTACTGAGGATTGTGACATTTTACAGTGAGAGTGGAGTGGCTTTCTGGAAACCTGTAATTCTTATTGCTTTCCCTTTCAGGATAGTCTCTTCCACTTCCTCCATCATTTTTTAATGAACTAAAGCTCTGGTTTATATGGAGAAAGAAAAGGGGTCCTGAGGCCTGCCTTCTGCCATCATTTTGCAGGACACAGCGACAACTGGCTGAGGAAGCACATCCCCCACTTGTCCTTTGACCTCATTCATTTCCTTCACTCCCTCAGATAAGCCATCATACTGTGGACCACAGACAGATAACACCACAGCTGCGGCCCACCACCCTGGTGAGAGGCATCTACCCAGCAGTTCTGGGATCTGTATAGCAAAAGGAAGGAAGCTGTCATGATGCAGAGGGGGGCAGGGAGGATATTCAGGTGCCACTGGGTGGACAGAGTAAGTGGAGAGGTACACAAAGCAAGAAGGATAAGAGGGTGATGCTGGAGATGACAGGAACACATTCACTGAGTCACACAGCCAAGCATTCTGCTGGGACACTTTTGTTTACTCTTCAAACAACCGTGTGAGGCAGAAGCTCTCATTTCCCCACTCGACACAGAATCACACAGGCCTATGGGCGGGGGCAGTTCAGCTGCTGCCAGGCCCAGGCTAGCCTCTGACATCTAAAGAGTTTCAAATAGTCTCCTGAGTGACAGAAGTATTTTCAGGTAATTTATATATATATATTATTGTGCTAAGAATGTTCTGGCCTGTTTTGCACATGATACTGCGCTCTGGTCAGCCAGATGAAGATGGAACAGGAATATACACAACCAGGCTGGAAAGCTGCAAGGCCCATACGAGAGGGGAACTGGAGACGCATGCTCGTAAGAGGAGAGAAAGGAGAAGGGACTAGAGGGCCATGGCACCTTCCCTCTCCTTTTTTCAGAGTCCAGTGGGTCGTGAGCAACTTAGTTATCTAGTTAAATACTTGACATATTTTTAAGACTTGATGAACAAAGTGATGAATTTTTAAAATGCCCCAAACATTGAGTTCACATAACCTAACTTTAGGGTCTGTCTTTAAGTCCACTTTTGGAGAAAACCATCACCAGAGGGCAGTTCACAAAATGCCAAAGCACTAAGACCAATTCAGTTCAACTCTCGGAAAGAACTTCCAACATACTTCCAAGAAAACATTATAAACTAGCCTCATAAAAACAACAACAAAAAAAATCAGTCTGGGTTGTGGCTCAGTGGTAGAGTACTCATCTAGCACATGTGAGCCACGGGGTTCCATCCTCAGTACCACATAAAAATAAAAAATAAAGGTATGGTTTCCACCTACAACTAAATATTAAAAAAAAAAAATCACCTTCTCATGCTCAATTCATTTACTCTTTGTCCAAGACCCTCTCCTTAGCTACATGAATATCAGCATTTGATATTGAAAAAAAAATCAGCAACATTACTACCAAGTATGAATAATTATCAGAAACACTGAGCTTCTCTCTGCTGGGTAGAGTAAACACCCAAAGGGCAAAATGACCTGTACACTTCAAAATTCAAATTTAGAACCAATAAGTTGGAATCTGTTCAAAAAGACAATTTATTCTCGGTATCTTGCCTGTGGCTACGATTCTGATGATTACGTATTAAACACTTCTACATGTTCACATGTGGGCCTCAGGGTGCATATACAATGGTTTTCAATAAGAAAAAAATACCTAAAATCATCTCTATTCCTATATACAGTAAGGAACAAGACACCAACTGTCACTGAATGCTGAAAGAGGAGAAAGCAAACAGTGCCACAAATGGTGAACCCTGGGAAATTATGTCCAAGATTTGCAAGATCCACAGAAAATCAAATTGAATGCTGCCAGGCTTATACTTGGTTGAAAAGAGTACTGACGCTAATCTATGTACAAAATAATTTCATTCTTTAAGTTTAAAAACATACTACTTGAAAGAAATAACTATAAAGGTAGTAAAAATAAAACAAGTAACTACCCTTGGGGTACAAACTAAACAGGAACTCTGTGTTTGGAGAATTCTGCCCAAAAGGATCAGAAATATATTTTCCAATTGAACCATGAGGAAATAACCCAGATGGCTTCATTGAATCCCCAATTTTTCTTACCATTTTTTCTTCCTTGGCAGGTGGACTTCGAAGGAAAAAGCAGAGGGGAGCAAAAAGAATATCAATGATCCCAATAATTGTCATGAGCCATGGAAAGCCAATTGCCTTTGCGATAGCACCACCAGCAGAAGGACCTTTCAGGAAACAGAGAATTAGATAAAGCTCTCCCCAAATGCCTTGTCCACAGAGAATGCAAAGACTTCAATATTTTTAGGAGGCATTATCCATCCTGCACAGAGGTAAAAGGCTTTTTTGAGAGCCATGTTCTTACCTATAGCATATCCCATACAAAACGCCACATCTGCAATGGCATACACACTCCCATAGACGGACACGTGCCGCAGGTCCACAAGGTAGCCCATGATAGGCATCATTGATGAATCCACCATCCCTGTGGACAGTCAGGGAGCACAGTGTATAGAAAACAGATGGAAAGCAAAAATGAGCTGAGTGACAGTGTTCCAAACTCACTACACTGCCAGCTCTTCCCCTTTGTCATCACCACCTGCAATGGTGGACCCTTGACAGCAAACCTTTCACTGAGGACAGTCAGTGGAAGGTAACTGAGGTTGAGGGTGGAATCCAGCACCACGGTCTGAGTCCTTTATTAAGCCTCCACTTGCCTGCCCCCTGCCTTAACCTCACCTTGTCCCCCTCTGCCAGAATGGCCCATCTTTGGGTGACAGCGTCTAGTCCTCTGGTGACCTACTGTGCCGTTCTTCAGATCCAGTGGTCTTGCAGGTTACTAGCTATGTGGATCCCTAGGAGCCTACTTCCTGCTGGTGCTTCCCTGATTTGCCATTTTTCTCATCCTCTTGTCCCTTGCCACTTGGCACACCTACGGGTCTCACCTAGCCTCTTCCCCATCCACACCAGCCCTCACACTCAAACCATCAGAGTCACCATGATGGAAAATGCTACGGAGAAATCAGAAGATATCAGTATACAAAGGAGCCTGAGAGATCATCTGGCTCTACTTGGGAAAGTAAAACCCAAAGAGGGAGTCTCATGTAGTTGGCTAAAACCAACAACAAAGACCAGTATTTGAATCTCTGATCTCTTAAACAGCCAGATACAGGGAGCATAAAGGGCACAAGTGTTCAGAGTGCTGGGTTCAAATGCCTGGCTGAGTGAGCATGGTCAGACCTAACCTCTCTGAACACTGTTTCTCCATCTACAAAATGGAGGTGCTGATGACTGGCTGCGGAGAGCCAGTGTCCATGAACACACCAGGGGAGGACTCAAACATTAGAAATGTTAGTTCCCTCCCCTCCACAGGCAACAGCCCACACAGAGAGAAATGTCTTTCATTCAAAGAGTATTTGCTGATCTCCTGATATGGGCAAGGTGCTGGGGAGCAAGGGATGAACCAAACATAAGAGCTGGAAGCCAGGCAAAGAGTCGAACGGTGACTGGGACTGAGGCTGTGAACGTGCCATGGGACATGCAGAAACCAGGAGGACCTAACTCCTCAGGGGTCAGGAAGGGCTCCATTTATTCTTTCTGCTGTGCCAATCAAAGATTAAATTCCTGCCTCAATGGAGTGACAGATTTGGCATTTGCCTTTATCATGATCAATTATTATTCAATTAATGAGAAACAAAAACACGCTGTTCATCCAAAATATTAACAAGTTCTTTCCTGACATTTTTCCTATGTTACAAAGACCCATTGCCTCTATCTGTGAAAATCTGGGCACAGCAGTCAGCACTCCCTTACTGAGCCCTATAAAAAACAGACTTTGTCCCCCAGCCTTGTTTGGTTTGTTTTCAGATAGGAGTCCTGGGAGATGTGCTATAGGTGAGGGGGTCCCCTGTTTGCCCAAGCATAGCAATGGCACAGCAGTCTGCTTCTAAGCATCAGGCATTTAGAAATGCTGGCTTCCAGGACATAAATGATGCGTAGTGGAAGAAAGTGTTTGTGGAGATGGTCTACAGGATATCATTGGGCTAAGCTGCCAGCAGCCTCTGCTCTAACCTCTAGAAATTCAGGCTGAGAACTACAGTCTACTTACTCTACCAGAGTAAATCTCTCCTAGAGGTTAAATAAGTGTTAAATTTAGGCATAAGCTTCATGCAACTTACCAATTGCAAAACCAACTCCAAAGTTGGGAGCTATGAGACCATAAATGTTTTTTGCAAAAGGAATCTGTAAGAGGAAATAAATGTCATGATAAAATAATGGAATATCCAACTCCAAGTAATCTTAAAAACATGTTTTCTCTGGGCCTGATATGGCTACTTCCTACACAAGGAAAAGGAAGGATGGGACTTGACGTCCCAATCATTAAAACAGTATTCTGACGACCATGAAAAATTAGTCAGCTGCTATCTGTGAGGGATCAGCCTAGTCCACACTCAATGTCTGACAAGGACAAGGAGGTCTCATTTGGGGTATTTATTGGCCACTGGTAGGAGATGTTCTATTCTAGGAAGACATCCTGCTATTGTTTCAGGCTAGTTGCTCTACAGTATTTAAGATATGGCAAGATTTAAATAATGGAGGGGGTAAAAGGCAAACTAGGTAATAAAATATCTAAATTTCTAACATAAATGCATTGGAGAGTCTTTTCCCAAAGAAAAAAGATAAAATGGAAGACAACAAAACTAAACATCACCAAACTCGAATTGCTATAATGTTGCTTGGTGAGTCTTGCCCAAAACCAAAGTCTCAGTCTCAGACTGTTCCCACTTGTCAAATGCCATCTTTTACTCACACATAAAATGCTGATTCCAACAATTATCATTCCTAGAAGTGCACAAAGCCACCTGTCAAAAGAAAAAGCACATCAATAAATGAACATTTAATGTTTTTTCCCCAGTCCAAATATTCAATGGAAATCAAAACAATTGTAACATCTAAAGTAGAAACACTTAGAATTTTTTTAAAAGAATCACTTCATTATCAGTATAACAGAAAGAAGGCTGTTTTCATTTAATCTTACCTCCCCATTTTGTGTGCAAGTATCCCAAAAATATTGGTTCCAATGAGATAAGAAATACTCGCTGGCAAGAAAGCAACGCCTGTAAATTTATGAAAAGGACACCTTATCAGTACTGAGAGCAGTCACATGTTAGAAAAACTAATAACCACAGACACCCCAGTGTTGATTAGAGCAGATGAAATGAAGCCCCAGGGCCCGCGCCCGAGCAGCTCATATCCGGCAGCCCACGGCTCCAGTCTGGACCCCACACGGCTCATCTGTCCCACAGAGCTGCTGAGACACTCCGGAGATGAAAATCATTTCTCTATCCTCGGCTTCATCTGTCTGGAGCAGGCATGACACGTGCACTGATACGCACAGCTCCCAGCTGCAGGAGGCCAGCAACAGGACGTGTGTGCGCCAGGCGTCTACGCATGTGTCCTGCTCCTCTCTTCAATTTTGCATGTCAGAAGTAAAATGCAATCATTGAAAGTATTAGGGGAAATTGAGGTAAGCGAAAAGACAGGAGATAAAATTATCCAAACCCCATCACTCTTCTCCCTTTTAAGTTTATACTTTCACATGTGGGCACAGGATGCTGTGCACTCCAAAGGGGCTATGCTGTGCCTACTGCTCTACATCCTGCTTTTCTCAATTAGTTTCACGACCATTTTTACATATCAAAAACAGAACTGTATCTACATGGTCACCTTTTGCAGTGGAATCATACGTGACTGACAATTTCATGTCTGTGGTCGAATTACTTGCATCTCCTGGGTTCTCATGAGCCAGGAGAGATTTCCTCCAGGTAGGACAGTGGCTGCCTTGAATATGCCCCTTCACTGAACAGGAAGATTAGTCAAGACAGACCAGGCTTGGCTGCCATGGGCTGTGTCCACCTCAACTCACTGTGTATTATTAGGATGACAAGACAATCTCTTTAAGAGAGACTACTTATCAAACTCTAGCATTTTTTGTCAGAAGACAGATAAATCATATTTGATTCCAAGCCTTATCCACAAATGGTAAAAGCTTCCCAGTTCTCAATCATGATGGCCTTAGGTCCCAGACTGTCTGTAAGCGCCTGCTGCATTCCAAAAGCAGAGGCCCTGGAGCCTTCCTGGACAAGTATGATCTTGTCCCTTTAAGAATAGGCACTAATGAAAGCCATCAAACCCGGAGAAAGGTCAAGCCTCCAACACAGTAGGGACTTCAGAATGATGGGTTCCATGAGCAAAATCCAAAACCAAATCATTCCAGGCCTGGGGATTCTGGAAAATAATAATAAAGAGCAATCTCACTTCATGTTCCAGGGAATCATTTCCACCATACTTGGCAATATGCGGTGGCCAAATAATTGCTCAGTGTAATCTGATTCAGCAAACATTTACTGACAGCCATGTGCCTAGCACAGCAATGGCCTGCAGCAGAGACAATGACAGTGTGGCTCTTGTCACCACAAAAATGTCTTTGAAAGAAAAAGTCAGATGATGTTTGAACAGAAACATACCCTCGTTAAGAATGTAACAAAAGCACAGGCACCGTGGTCCAGGAGCCCAGAGCCACAGCTGGCCAAGCTCCCCAAAGCAGACGGAATCTACACCTGACCTCCGAGGTAAGCGGCCAATTTCCCACACTCCATAGACTGTTAGTCTGTGCATAGAAATCCTGTCATCCTTGTGTCATGATAAGTGGCTCTGGGGCCAGGGAGGAGTAAATGAAGGAAGCAAAAAACTGTAAGAAAAACAACAGTGCAAGCCCCATGATAAAGAGCCACTGACGTTCAGCCCCAGAGTCAGAGAAACAGACTGAACCCTGGAGTGGGGAGGAGGTCTGGTGACATGTGGGGCCTAGACCCCATCAGAGGAGGCAGCTGCTACTCTCTCCAATCAGTCGCTACCCTGGGAGACCACAGTTTCAGTATTGGAAGATCTATTTTTTCTAGATAAGCTGGAATTCTGGATTCTTACAGGAAATCTGAATTTAAATGTTGGAAATTCATCCTTTAAAAACAAACCCCAAGAAATTAACACTATACCAGTCACTCAAAAAAGAAAAAAAAAAAAGAAAGAAACCTGCTTAAGAGCTGAATTTGGGCCACAGACAGTCCATTGTAAGATCTGGTCAAATTAAGTAGCTCACAGGGAGCCCAGCAGGGCTCCAGGGCTCCTGGTCGGTACTCACTCCAGAAGTAGGGCAAGGGATGCAGCACTGAAGCCAAAAACTTAAGGCAGGGGTACCTAGAGAAGCTCCAGCAGAAGCCACAGAGCAGCCACATTTTCCCAACCTGTTGAATGGGAAGAGCTCACACATAGGACCAAGGAGCCAAAAGAGCAGGGCTGTACAGGCGCAAACTCCATCTTATGAGTCTCAAGCAAAAAGCACTAGATTAGTAGGCATGCAGCAAGGTTTTCACTTCAACTTGAACTTGCTACCTGAGGCCTGAAAAGGTCACTTCAACCTCTTAGAGCCCAAGAAACAGCCATAGCTCCCATTGTGCAAACCTCACAGCATGGTTTTAAGGATCAAATGGCTAGGTGCATTTCATGGCTCTTGGTAAACAGCCCTACCAGTTTGATTTCAGTGCCCTGTCATTCCATGCAAACCCCAGACTCCCATTTTCCACCCCAGCCTGCTGGCCTTCTCCATGCTCAATAAGTTCCCAGTGAGCAGAAACCCCTCACCTGTCTTCGGTGGCCTAGTTCAACAGTGGCACACAGGAGGTACCCAGAGCATGGCCATGGAGAGGGAAGAGCCTGTTTGCACCTGTTCTGATGTTGCTCAGCACCCTTTTCTCACCAGGGCTCCACAACTTACAGAACCTCAGAGTCCTGGAACTCAAAGACACCTCAGTGTCTCAAGTGGCAGCCCATAAGGGGTGAAGAGCCCTCAGCCAGTAGTTGCCAGAGGTGGCCATCTACCTTTGCTCCAACACCCAGGACCAGGGGACTTTTCCAGCCATTTCTAAGATAGCTCCAACAATTGGGCAGGCTTCTGACAACAAGCCCTAAACATCATGGTTTGCATCCAGAGCCAATGGAAGATGGCGCCAACCTTGTCCCAGAACAGCCACTAGCACAAGAAGAGTAAGACCTAGATGTCCAAATGAAACACAACAGGGCTTTGGATTGTTCTCCAATACAAGGCTCCCACCAGTTTCCCTGTGGACAAGTTCAAGTTCTTTCTCTACTTGGAAACATGATGCCTACAGCTGACCCCACCTCCATCTTCTTGCTGGCTACACAGATGAGCAATAAGCGAAAGAAAAGAAGGACCAAATGCATCCCATAGGCTTTGTTTCCCAAGCTCCTCAGTCGCTCTCCTCCTCCCTGTTTTGACCTCTCTGGAGCCCCTTCATCACCAGACCATGAGGGGCTTGTAGCACGCAAACCTGCTCTTCCACCAGGCCCCCCACCGTGTCTTCACAGGAAAGGTCTTTCAATTGTAAGGCATCAAAGAAACTGCACCATGTTCCCTGCAGGCCTTTTCTGCCTAAGGAGACCTTTTATCTGCAACCTGCTGGCCGATTCTTTTCAGAATTCAATGAGAAGTGTTGGCTGGGCCTGGTTGTACACATGGTGCCCATGGCCACTGGCATGAGCCCCTCCTCCTGCATGTCATTGCTGTCCTGACAGGGATGCTGGTGGCTTCCTCACTCACCTCTGGTCATACCAGAAAGTTCAGCACAGGCAGCTCCTCCACCCACCCCAGTGCTCTCTAGTCTGGCTTCACCTGCAGCCACTGCCAGCACACCAGGTAGAGCTCGACCCCTTGAAGCTCAGGAGCTGGAGCTGGATGCACAGTCCTAGAAGTGATGCAAGGAATGTGCCCTTGGGCTTCTTCCCAGCTCCAAATGGCCTGCCCCCAAGTGCCCACCCCCCCCAAGGCTCTGCTTGTAAATGAAATGAGACAATGGTCTTAGGTTGCCCTATCCTAGAGGAGGCCTCAAATCAGGGAACTACAGGATGCTGGCCATCCTCTTGTCTTGGGACCCTGCAGGGCTGGCACAGGACATGACATGAGGTCATAGCTGGCTAGGAGCAGAGTGGCCCCACCCTGTCCTCCATCCCACACTGCATCACCACATCTTATTCAAGACAAATGGGCTGGAAGAACCAGAAGAAAGAGTTTGACTCCAGCCTTGCCTGGGCCTAAGCTCCCCCTTGGGGATTTATAGGCCTCACTCTGAATTCTGAGTTCCTAAGAATCAAGGTTCTGGGGGAGGTCATGTGACTAGAACTTAAGGTATAAAGAAAACACCATGAAAGAATTCTCTCTCCACCAACTCAAACTCAGGACTTCCTGCCAAATGTCAGAGAGGAGTTTGGGTGGGGGTGGGGGGCAGGCCAAAGGAGTCTACCTCCCCTAAAACCATGGCCCAAGGAGAGTAATTGTGTGTGGTCCACATAGTTAGTAAGCTCTGACTTTTGTTCCTTCTCCAGAAATGACAAGGGACACACAGAGGTGGAAAGGCTCCTGTCCCCACTGGGTTATAGCAGATTGCAGAAGACTCCTGAGCCGAGAGAAACTGGGCAGGAGAGCTGTGGGGCTCCAGAGGACTGACTGGCCTGCAGGCACTAGTCCTTCATAACTGTGTCTCCCACAGTATCCCCAGATTCTGGGGCCTGGGGGGATGCAGGAGCCATGGACCCCAAACTTCAGAAACCCACATAAGGTGGCATGTTTCCCCCATGCTGGATCTGAGGAAAACAGAAGAGAAATTAGATTCTCTTGAAGAAAGATGAGTCTACCTCTGAGGCAAATGGGAGAGGAACCTCAGTGGTGGAAATGTGTGATGCTGGTCAGGTGGACACTGAAAGCACAGGTGATGAACCTGAAAAATGACCTCCCCCCGACATCCAGGCAGCCTGTACTCTGCTGTCTACCCACGTGGCCCAGGGCTCCTGGCTGACCTTAAAGACTTTACAAAGGAAGCCTCGGGCTTTGAAGAGGACAAGAGCAGGGCAGCTAGAGTGCCCTGCACATGACCAGGCCACATTTAATTAGGATCACGGGCCAATTAAGTGGAACTCAGAAGGCCTGGGGAAAGCCTCACAGCCCACATTGTGCAGTCAAGTGCAGGGAGCTCTGCTGGGCTGTGCACGCCCACCTGGGAGACGGTGCTTCCTGAGGACACCTGAGACCCAGGTCCCAGAGGGAAGGGAAAGCTGGGAAACACCTCTACAAGAGCAGCAGTAAGACTGAGAATGTCCTCATCTTTGCAAAACCTATCAGCACTAAGCATAAGAGGAAGTGCTCCTCCTGCAGAGCATGGTGCTTTCCCCAGGACCTTGAAGGTCCCTGGATTTCCTCTCCCATCTTGACTCCGAAGTTCAGAGATACATTTTATGCCTAAGAAATAACCTTTGCTTAGCTCCAAGAGTCCTCCCTCTTACAGGGAATAACTCTTGTATTTGGGGCTTCTTTTGTGACACAATTCACATCCTGTAAAATTCGCCCTTGACAGTGTGCAGTTTGGTTGGTTTGGGTATGTTCACCAGGTTGTGCAATCGCCACCACCAACTGAATCCACAAGACTATGATCACCCCAAAAAGAAACCTCACACCTAGTTTGGGGCTGCTTAAGGATTGGTTGGTGAGAGAACACCAGCGAATCAATGCCAGAACTTGAAGACTGGCGGGTTCTCAGGCTGGACCACGTGGTGGGAGCCAGAGTAGGACACAGTCTAAATCAAGAGGTGGAAGCTTCCAAGAAGACACCCCTGTGAGGGCTGGATGCTCAAGGACAAATACAGGTGGCCTGCAGAAAGGCTTGGGGACATTAAAAACGCCAGCTTAACTCAAAACTGAGTCTCCCTGCGATCTCCCATATGAGTTCAAAAAACTATGAAAGGAAAATAAATCTCTAAGATGGATATCAATCAATTTTTAAAGAAAAGGGGCAAATATCAATAAGAAATTGGCTAATAAACCCTACAAAAAGATGCTCAATTTCACTTATTAAATGAAATTAAAACAAGCTCCCCTTTCTTACACGTTTTAGTCACTGGAAGAGACTGAAGACCAATAATAGCTGTGCTAAAACACTCACTTCCAGGCACTAAAACATTCGTTTAACTTTTAGGATTTGTGCCCGACAAATATATCTCCAAACATGAAGAGGGATGCAGATGATGGGTATTCTCTGCAGTATGGTTTCTAATGGTACAAACTGGCAGTAACCCAAATGCCCAACAAAAGGCAATGGTTGCAAATTTATGGCATAATCCTTTTTTAAAAAATATCTTTATTTTATGTATTTACTTTTATGTGGTGCTGAGGATCGAACCCATGGCCTCACACGTGCTAGGCAAGCACTCTACCACTGAGCCACAGCCCCTTGCATAATCTTAAACAGAATATTCACCATTAAAATAAATGATGGCCTTGTAGTTTAAAAAAAAAAGGCAGACTGAATTTCTAGGATTTACTCCACTTCCCACACCCCCAATGTCTATTCAAATATTCCTAAAAGAATAAATGAAAGTTCTAGGCACACATCCCACATGCTCCTCCCCAGGCCTAAGGACAAACAGAATGGGCCAAGAGAAGCAGTAACAAGAAAGAGAAGCAAACAGAGGGCAATGGACACACAGGGAACACTGGAACCTTCCACCTGCATGTGGAGCTGTCAACAAGAAGCAAGAGCCCTGTGCCTCATACACCAGAAAGTTCAGGAGCTGAGGAATGAGGAGTTGAGAAGGTCGGCTGAGAGCAGGGACTGTGGACAGGGAAAAGGTGGGAAAGCTACTTTGAGAGAAGCTGGATCTCCAGCCCTCCAGCCCTCCAGCCCTCCAGCCCTCATCCCAGAAGGATGCAGGTTCTCTAGAGAAGCTAAACTGGAATGGTTAAGGTCCCAAGGAATGGGCATCAAGGAGGCAAGGGACAATAGAAGCTGAAATTGGGATTGAAAGAAAGTCCCTACTGAAATGGCCAGGGGGTGTCATTTCAACAAAGATCAACTCACACACACAATACAAAAGGGCTCTTCAAATTGAAGACAGGCAGCTGGGCATGGCAGAGCACACTTGCAATCCCAGCTACTCAGGAGGCTGAGGCAGGGGACTGCAAGTTCAAGATTAGCAAGATCCTGTCTTTAAATAAAAATTAAGGGGCTGGGGCTGGGGCTCAGTGGTAGCACACTTGCCTGGCATGTGCGAGGCACTGGGTTCAATTCTCAGAACCACATATAAATAAATAAAATAAAGGTCTATCAACAACTAAAAATATGTTTAAAAAAAATAAAAGGATGGGGATGTAGCTCACTTGTACAGCAATACCATGGACAAGGCCCTGGGTTCAATCGCCAGGACTGAAAAAAAAAAAATGTGATAGCATCAACTTTAAAACTTTGATAGATAGCTTAAAAGATAAAAGATTAATAAATTAAGGGCAAAAAAGGAAAGGTGAGAAATAAAAAGAATGAAACATAGAGGTCCAACATCCAACTAAGTGGAGTAAAAGAAGAAAATGAGGAGGGAGGGGTTAATGAGAGTAATCATAGAAAAAGGTTCCCCAGGTGAAAGGGCTAACCCAGCAAGCCGCCAGTATTTGGGAAAAGAATAAAAATAAAAAACCATGGCCCACTGCCATCACAGACACTCATAACCCAGATTGGTAAAGGCTCCAACAGAGACTCAGGAATCAGAAGACCCAGGGCCTCCTGAGCAGCAGTGCGGGATGCTAGAATGCAATAGAATGGTGGCCTCGAAACTTGGGAAGAAAATGCTTTCCATCAGGAACTGTGAAGGCAGACTAAGTCAGCCACGGGGCGGGTGGAGACATCTGCAGGTATGTAGGGCCTCAGAACTTCCCACACCTCGCAGCACCCTCTTTCCCAAAGCTGCTGGACATCGCCCTTCCACATGATGAGGGGGTGACCTGAGAGAGGACAGAGAAGAGAAGAACCCAGGAAACAAGAGAAGCAAAGAGGATGCCCAGGGGATGGGGAGCAAGGCCTGGAGAACACTCCATCTAGACCCAGAGATGGAACAGAGTTCACAGATGAGCAAAGCCAGAAAGATTAGGTCAGCCAATGAACATGAACGCCTTTAGAGGACCTTCATACCGGCCAGAGAGTCTAGGGGGTGATTCATAAATGCTACATAGAAAACTAAGAAAATGAAAAAAAAAACAAGGCAAAAACTTGTTCAGGAAAAACAAGTTTGCAGAAAGAAAAAAATTAATCGCAGTACCCTACAATGCTCAACTTGAATCAATATTTACAGTCACAAAAACATCAATGCTAAATGCCAACAACAACAACAACAAAAAACTGTGATGCATTTACAGTGGTACCCCCTTCTCTGTGGAGGAAATGTTCCAAGACCCCTAGTGAATGCCTGAAACTACAGATAATACCAAATCCTGCATATATCATTTTCCCTAAACACCTATGCACCTATGCCAAAGTTTATAGAATAGCAGAGATTAACAATAATGAAATAAAAGAAGTAGCAATTTAATAAAAGTTTGTGAATATTCTCTCTATATATCTCTATATCAATCTCAATCTCATATTATACTTTAACCTTTCCATCTGAAGCTTTCATCAGGGATGATGTAAAACCCAGAGCTGAAACAGACCCCAAAAGTACCCTAGACATTGACCCTAACAGCAGTCAAACAGAAGCAATCACTGCATCATCCTGGTTCAATTCAGTAGGGCTGCACTGATGGGAACCACTCTGGGGATAAAAGTTCTAGAATCCAAAGAACCCACCCCAGTCCTTACCCAGCTGCCACTTTCGGGAACACATAGTCTCCATCATCCAGATGGGCAGGGCTGGCTCCAGCATGGCGATCCCCATGTTGGCGAAGCAGATGGAGCCTTTGAAGGAGGAAGAGAGTGAGTATGCTTAGACTTCAGGTCCTGAGTGTCCTCCACGGTCTCGCCAAACACAGTTGGACCCCAGCTCACATTATCTAGAACTTCTCCTCCTTCCATAAGGAAAAGGTAAAACAACAAGCCAAAGAGCTAACAAGGAGTTTTTTGTTATTATAATTTTAAACAAGTAGAATCCCAGAGTCATGAGGTTAGAACTAGAGGGCGCTGACTGGTCATTTGGTTAATCTATCCAATCTATTAATGAAGGAACCTGCCTGAGGCCGCCCAGCAGCCAGCAATTTCCAGGCCACACATAGTGATGACAACCTGAGCTCTTGTGACTATGTTTTATTGTGCAATGAACGTGGACATTTCTAATGATTCCCTGAAATGCCAGAAAATCCAAGAAAGACCACAGTGCAGTTAGCACAGGTGTGCTATGGAGGGATTTTTTTTAATCAACTAAACATACAAGGTACCTATGCAAATATTATCACTCTGTTAACTAGACCCTTTGTAAATATAGAACAATCTGGAAAAAGACACACAGAACTGTCTCCATCAATCTGGGAGCCTCCTGTATTGTGTTCCATGAAACCTGTAATTTGCTAGAACAAATTCAAAGAACTCTTGCAATCGTGATGAAGCTGCACACGTAATGAGAGATCTTTTCATTCTCTGTGACATTTAAAGGCAGAACATAGAAATGATTGGACTCTCCTCCCACCCACCTTGTTCCCAACTTCCCTGCCCCAGAACTGGGGATGGTCTGACGGTACTGAGTATATCTCTGTATTTCCTTTCATGAATGGGACCAGGCAGTAAGACTTCAAGAAATTCTAGGCAGGCAAACCAGGTATGCCCAAGGTTCAGGGAGTCATATCTCTGAGACCTGGTCCCCAACCACACCCTCCTCATCCCCACACTTCAATGGCCAGGGCTCCAGGTACATCTGAGCTCTGGGATGCTACCTGTGCTTTGCAGGGCCTGCTGCAGGAAGAGGTCTCAGCACCAGCTTCCCAATTCTACAAAAGCCAACAGCAGCAGGATTAAACAAAACTAGCCTTTAAATGGCCTCGGGGACAGCAGGGCCAGGGGCCCAGGCACCCCAGTCCTCCTGGACAGCTGGAGCCCTGCTTAGAAAAATCTCACCATAGCTGTGTGTGATGCCTCACTGCGGGGCCACCCCAGAGAGCACTAGCCAGACCTGACGCCTGACACCAGGGCCCTGCTGACCTTGGCCTCAGGTCCAGGCAGCACCTACATGAACCTGGTCCCTTGTCAAGCAGGGAGGTGGCCTACTGCTACCTAGACAGACTGGGGACAGCCTCATTCATCAATGCAGCCTTTCCCCTTCCCCAGAGTCACAGAACCCTAAAGCTTTCTCTTAGCCCATCCACGCCAAGAAACCAAAGGCGTGACCTTTCACTAAAGGGTGATTTCTGCGACCTGCCAGCTGCTCCATGGGGATGTGCTCCTGCAGGAGGAGAGGGGTCCCCTGGGCCCTCTGGGGCTCCACTGTCAGTAGCTAAGAGAAGCAGTATGCCCACTGAAGACCTCAGCAGTGCAAATCCTTCCAGAAAGTTCAAGGCCAAACAATGATGACTTTGACACAAAGGGAATGAGCAGGCTTAGCTTCAAACAAAACTCTGAGGCAGGGCGTCCCCGGGGCACAATGTGACTCTGGCAGCTCTGCAGAGCATGGTGCATACCATTTAGATTTGCCCCAAGTGAAACACAAAAGAGACCTTGTCTAAGGGTCAGAAATCAATGACAGAAGAAAACCATTTCCTGAGACTTTTAACCCCTCTTGTCTTTGGCTTCTTCCATTGCCCTACATTTCCAGCAGCAATATGGAAACTGGTACCTGCCACCCACCCCAGCCTCAAGGGTATGGCCTCGACTATGAAGAACCTGGAAGCCTCACCTGCGGCAATGAGGATGTATGGGTCCTTCAACAGAGTGGTTAGAGGCGTCCCCTTCTGACTCTGTCAAGCAAAAACAGGAGTTTAGAAGAGTCACTGTGGCTACCGCCGGCCCTCACTCCCCAGCTGCTCACCTCTGGCTGCACCCGGGATGGCTGGAGAACAAAGAGCTGAATAGCTGCAAGGGAAAAAACACAGAGGATCCCCTTTTCAGGAAGCAGGTGTGGCCCTGATCATGCACCCTCGTGCGGGCCATGGTCACAGCAACAGTGCCCACACGGCCTCACTCACCTCCATCCAGGAGCACCAAGGCAGCCAGCACCAGGAACGGAGCCGTCTTCCCCACGAACTCATACAGCACACTCCCGAAGGGCGGGCCCACTGTGGGAGAGAGGAGCCATGCCAGCCTCGTGGACGCCCTGCCCCGGACCAGAACCATTACTTGCTTCTTGCATTTCCCTCTCTACTCTGTTCCAAAGAAAGATCTGGGGTACACACCCTACATTCTATGTCGTCAATACTAAGTTGCCTCAACAGCTTCCTCCAGGTGGATTTTCACCTGAGAAGTGGGAAGAGCATATAAGGCCACTGAAAAGGCAAGGGGGGACAGGAACCGGTTTAGGCACAGGGCAGCACCACTTCCAGAGCCCAGGAAAGGGGCATCTGGGTTCCACTGCTCCAGACTGGCACAGATGGGAACCATGCCTCCAAATGAAGGCCAAATGTCAGAGGAAAAGAGAAAGGATCCAACTCTCCCTCAGGGGAGAGATCTGTCCCCTGGCCTATGAAGTCTGTGTGGGAGGGCATTCTGGGGAGGCAGACACAGGCGGTTGGAAAGTTCTCTGGATAACTCAGAATGTTTGAGGGTCTGCAGACCTTCCTGCTCAACTCTTTCTTTTTCATTAGGGCCAAAGGAGGTTTGGGAGACCAAAGATCAGGTCCTCCTAACTCAGGACTCTTCCCACTATCTTCCACAGTCTCCCTGAAAGTAGGAAATAGAAAGGCAGATTGGGGGGCAGCTGGGGAATCTGTCAGTGTAAATATAGACTTGTTCCCACTGTATCCAGGGCCACTGGGCAAGGACTATCACTGCCCAAAGCCAGACAGGCCTCTTCTGCCTGCAAGCTCGCATGATGGCCTTACCCACCTAAGACCCCCATGGCCAGGCCTCCTAAGGCGATCCCCATAGCGTTGCCTCTCTCCTCATCATCTGTGTACACACTGGCAAGCATGCCCATCCCTAAACAGGAGAAGACGCAGTCAACAGCTGGAGGGCGCTCAGAGGCATCTGTGACTTACCCTCTCTCCCCAGCCAGACCAGGGATCTTCTGGAAACTGTGAGATTAACTGACACATAAAACCAAGCGAAATCCAAGAAGGAGGAGGGCACCTTCTCTGAGAATCCCCACCACCACCCAGCCTTGAGTCCCCAAGTTCAACAAGCTGTGCAAGGGCTGCACAGGACAGGGCTGGGCTTCCCCCTCCAACAGTTGTTTCCACACCTACCAGCTACGGATGAGCAGGAGGAGCCAATGCCCTGCAGGGACCTGGCGATCAGCAGGAAGGCATAGCTGCTGGAGAAGGCAAACACTGCCAAGACAAGAGGCCAGTCCAGCTGTTAGGGCCATGCCCCTGAGGACAGGATGGAACCATCCCAACAGGGGCTTTCTGAGGCCCACCCTTTTCCAAAGGAGCATTTCAACGTTCCTACACTGTGCTCTTGCTCCAGGAGGTCCCCTCTGCCGCTGCTTTCTGTAGCTGTTACCCATACACACACCCCAGGTTGTATTCTGATTCTCAGCTCATGGATTCATTCTGAGACCCACACTCAGAAGGCAAACATGAGACACTTACTAATTGTTGAGACAAACATGATGCAGAATCCCGTAAACATAGGAATGGGATAGCCAATTCTGCAAAACACAAACATGAGGGAAATCTGGTGACTGCTGGGTATTTTTTTAAGGCTTTATATTGATTCTCTCCTGATTATCCTTTGGGATCAGACAGATAAGCGCTTGGTTGGCTTTTCTAAAAATTCATATCCTCAGTGCTTCCTATGTGACCTTTCAGTGTTTGGACTGTCTTAGAACGTGAATACATTTGTAGACTGCCACTCGGAACAGAAATTTCTCTGGAATAAATGTCAACACAATATGAGCAAGTAACCCAGAACATACCCAAAATACATGGCGCCCAGTTCCACCACCACCATCCCCTTTTTTTAAATCTCTTTGATTATAGTCTTTGCTAGAACGTCCCCAAGGGGACCAACTGCAATCACCTGACTCTGGTAAAAGGCTATCAAGTGCTTCAGTTGACAGCAGAGACAACCACGCTGTCTAGGAGGTGGTTTTAAAACCTGCCTTCCCGTTGACCCCAGTGAGGCCACCTCAAAAGATACACCTCATTTTTCTGTACAAAAATTCAAAACCCAAATTTCTCTCTAAGGAAAATCACCCTCCCACACAGGGCTCCAGCACCAGGCCAGATGCCTGGCTGCCTGACACGTGACCCTGCCTAAAGCCACGTAGGTCGGCTCAGCCCAGGGAGAGGCTACCCTATCTTCTAGGGCCGGAAAGTAGAGATGTGGATGATAAACTGTCCACCGGGTGCCTGGAGCACAGAAGGCGCTTCAGAAATTTCATTTCCTCCCTCTCCTTCCTCTGCTTTGCTGCGCTGTCGAGAGCTCCCTGCTGTGCAGCGGCCCTGCAGCCCCAGGCAGCTGCCTGCCCCTCAGCCCTGAGCAGGCAGGGCCCCCACTGGATGAGCCACTGCCCTACTGTAGGCTTCTTCCAAACCACAACAGCCCAGGCCCCAGAAACCTGGAGAGGGACCAAGTGAACCCAGGAAGGCAGGAGGGCAAAAGCTGATGAGCCCAGACATGCCTGGACGGGTTCTTGCGTCCCAGTCTCTCATAAAAAGTCACAATCACAGCGTCTTCATTTAAAGGGTGCACCCAACCCTACAAACACATAGACCAACCAGTTCAATAATTTCCTAAAAGCACACAATCACGCCCCCATTTTACAAATAAGGAAACCAAGGCTTGAAAGAATGACTTGTCCAACGTCACTGGACTAGTTTCAGTCGGGCCACTAGCTTTCCTTCAGTCCAGAGCTTTTCCTTTGGTAGCTTTTTCCCCAGGGACGTAAAGGACAGAAGTGGTTTTAAATGGAATCTTTCCAAAAGTTCTCCTGACTATACTCATAGTTTTTAAAATGGCTTTGTGTGCATCCAGAAACCAAGTACCAAAAATATAAATAGCCTCTCAAAATTGTAACAGATTCTCAGTCAGTTCAGTCCCCCTCCCGGAAAAGATTCCCTGATGTGAACTGAGATGAGCGCATAATTCACAAAGGGGGCTCCAAGCAAATCAGGTGAAGAGGAGAGACACGGGGATCCTGAGCCACAGTTCACGTGGCCATCACAGGGCAGCTTCTCTCATCTCAGCCGCCCCAGCCGAGTGCTCTGTGCTCCTTATTCATAAGGACCAAAGAAACCCCACTGGGGTCTCACAAGGCATTGATGGGCACTGAATAAGGCAAAGTTCAAGAGGCTCAGCAAGAGCTCACAGGCAGTTTATTTTCAGAAACTGTGACACATCTTGTGAGAGAATAGACAGCTCACAATGTTCGTGGCTCCCCTGGAATAAATACAGGCCTCTCATCCCTTTCAACATACATTTGGGAAACCCCGTAGTTGAAGCGCCCGATATGTGTGTCAAAGCCACTGGAATTCGGGGTTTACCTCCCTTCACCAGGTCTTAGCTTTGGTTATTAATAAAGCCTTAACGTGGAGCCCTGTGGCCACAAAAGACATTTCTGGTCCCTTTGCAGACTGCAGGCAAAAGTCCTGAATGGTTTCAGGTCAGAACTCAAGAAAATTCAACAACCCATCTGTGGCCCCAAACCACCAGTGATACCACAACCAGTCTACCATGGCCAGCAGCTGAGGTCCCATGACAGGACATAGCTGGGGTTGGCTGGAAGCCACGGAGCCATGCTCTTCCCAGGAGGCTAGGACACTCTCTGATTGCATCGTGAAGGCAGATGGCCTGGGGATCCTGCAGTTCCTTTGGCCTTTATGCCTGCTTTTCAGCAGCCAGCACTAGGGTTCCAGAAGGTATGTAACCTGCCCCAAACTCAGGTGGCAGGTATACTGTGAGTATCTAATGTGTGCCAGGTCCTGCTGGCATACATGTGGGTACACTAGTCCCAGGGACGGACGTTCCCAGTGATACTTGGGATGGAGGTGCACAATCTCATCAAAGTCCACAGGGCTGTGTGCTCACACACGGGTCTTCTCACCAAGCCTCAGGCTGCATTTGCTTTATAAACACTGCAATACTATCCATTTAAAATTTCTCTGGGTTTTAGCAAAGCATGTATGGAATAACTGAATGCAGAGCTGGGTGGAAACACCCTGACTGGCCAGTTAATAGCCTTCGTGGTCTTCGGTGAGATGGAGTGGCTCACCCCCAACTGCAGAGAGCAAAAGCTACCTTCCTGCCAGACACACAGCTTTAGCACCTTCAGCACTGGCCAAGCCATTGACAGGGCTGCCCAGTGGCCAGTGCTTGGCAGCATCTTTACCTGGTACTCAGCCCCAAGACAAATCAGACCCAAAAGGTGGCTGCTAGGTCTCCAACCTCAAACTCCTCCAGCCCAAAAATTGCACACTCACATCAGAAAGAGGGTGGTCCATACCCTTGGGTCACTGTGTAGTGGGCAGAACACAAAGCCCTTTGTCTTTCCCTACAATGTCTACAAATAGACAGAAGCTCAACTGATGTTAGTCATAACCATCTGAGTTGGCCTCTTATCTGGATTCAAGGCCATCTCAATTAACGTATTACCAGCAGAGCTAGATCTGATTCAGCCAACGTTTAACAAATGTCCATCATCTCCCAGTGAGTCATGCCAGCCCACGGTCATCCTCTATAAAGCCTCAGGGAGCAGTTAACCCAATTTGAGGAAGATTAAAAATCACATATTGAATCCCAGGAAAATATGTGAAAACAATAAAAGTTAGGCTAATTACACAGACCTAGTCAGTGGAGAAACCCATATGTCCCTTAATGGCCACTGACAAATGATATTTATTCTCAAATGCTAATAAGTAGTTTCTCTTTGCCAGAGAGGCTAAGGTAGACTATTCTTAGCTTGCAAAGACCACAGTTTCTTCTACTTTGGGAAATGATAAAAGGAGGGACACAAAGTAAGGACCCAGCAGGGTGAACCATCACCAGATAAGACAAAGGGATCTGCTCCCTTTTAATTATCTCAGATCACTCCTAAAAGGTGGAACAGGAAGTGAATGTCAAGGAACAGGATGATATTTCAATTTTTCTTGGGTATAATAGGAAGTTTATCAATCATTTATTAAATTAAACAAAATCCTCAGGTTTAGCCCTGAGGTTTGCAGGTCTTCTGCAGATAGAAGATGTAAGCAGGTATTTATGTGGCCCACGAATTACTGCCCTTCCTGAGGTGGGGGCCCTGTTCCCGACACCAGCTCAACTGCAATCTTTGCTCCCACGAGAACTGCTCTAATTCCACTGCAGTTTATTCTGATTTCAAAGTGAAGACTCTGTCATACTGTGCTTCTACCATCCCCGCAACGTCTGGAGTGGGAGATCCCTGTCCAGAACAGCCGGTTCCCCTGTTCATAGAGAAGCTGAATAGGTCACTGATGATTCTTGCAAAGCCCACTTTAGAGTAACTGGCTGAAGCTGAGAGAGAGAGAGAGAGAGAGAGAGAGAGAGAAAATAATAACCCCAGTAAGATTTCAGAGAGATTTCATGCCCTGTAGCTAGCTTCCTCCTTGTCATTCAGATGTTAGCTAAGATTTGTATGGAAAAATAACTGCTTTCAACTCGACTAGGTAACTATGGAAATAAATTAAGCCACTGACTCTGGCTTGATAAAAAACAGACCACCCAGACAATGACGGCTAAGGAGGAAGCCAAGGGAGACAGCCCCAGCAATGCCGTTAACTCCTTCCCCAGCCGGCTGGAAGGTTTGGAATATCTTTTGGTTCTAAAGCTGCAACTACTATTTAAACTTTACACTAGGCAGGGGCAGACCAGGATGCCACACACTGAGCTAGGGGTAGCTCAGTAATAGAGGACAAGCTAGCATGAATGAGGCCCCAGGATCAAATTCCAGCACCAAAAAAGAAAGAAGAGAAAAAGGAGCCACATCTTGGCTTGAATTATGGCAGGGGAAAGGGAAACTTGTTTTCACATTGTCTGTGAGCGTTCCTTTTATGTACATATAAGCTTAAAATCCACTTACTGGGCCAAATGATGAGAGGTGTCACTAGTATAATTTTGCTACCTCCTGTTATTCATGACCACAACTCTGAAATGAATAGTTCAACTGGAATTGTAAAGTAAGTCACACGAACCTCCAAGATGGAAATTGAGTCAAGCAAGGCAGGCTCAGGCATTAAAAAGTGCTGCTAGATACTTGACAATGACATATGACAAAATCAAATGCCCTTTGTTCCTCATGTGGTCACATATTTTCAGTGGAAATATAGTAACCGAAGAGTCAACGAAAGAATAATTTGTATCAGATTACTGCCAAACGGACACTTAAACACTTCCTAAGATGGCTACTTTGTGTTTTCAGAGTTAGGCCAGAGACTTACCCTAACACTTAAAACAACAGACAAGCTGTCCACCTTCTTGTATCATCTGACAAAAGGCACTAAGGTGGCACCATCATGACCATGAATACAGGGTTGGGCTTGGGCCGATGTGGTGCTGGATGTCTCATCTCAGAATGGGCCCCCCTTAAATTAAAGCCAGGGGCTTCAAAGAGTTATGGCTCCTACCAGTCTGACTAAGCAGCTCCTTGAGTTTTGGGGGATTTACAAAGCTGGGCCAGCTCACATCAGGAGCTGGAGCCAGAAAAAGTCCAGGTCCAAAGAAATTAGGCTGATTTTTTTTTTTTTTTTCCAAATTCTCTGGCCGCTGATTAAAACTCTATATACCTTTACCTATTTAGTGTGGTACAACCAGAAAGGGCCCAAGAAAATGCAAGAATGACAGATTTTTTTAACCTGTATTCTTTATTTTCAGTAGCTAAAAGCACAAGCTGTATAATTGTAAGCAGGTACAAAGAACAGGGGTGGGGAGAACAGAGCCTTGAAACAGGGACAGTACACAGACGTGGGATTATAGCCCTACTGTGGCTGAGGGCAAAGGCTTTCCTCACAGAGACTGAGAGTCCACCTTCACTAAAAGCAGTGGCTCCCTACTCAAGCCTGCAGGTGCCCAACCACGGTAAGTAAAAGCAGGCTAGAGCTTGGTGTCTCTAGTTTTATTTTGTCTCCTTTATTACCTTAAACTTTGGGTCAGGTCCCGCTCAGTTCTGCATGCAGGCACACTGACCATGTAAAGAGTGTTCATCTAAATATTAATACAAGGTTTACCAGAAATATATTTACCTAACCTCTCTCGCTTCCCCTTCAAGACTGAAGTAAGATTCACAACACCCCGTCTCAGATTGCAGGAGTCGAGCCTAGAAGTTTCCAGTCACTACCCTCTGCCAGGATCATGGGTTTGAGAGACAAACACCCTGGGGAACAAGTGAAAATCACCCCCTCAAGCAGTAAGGACTCTTCTAGAGCAATCTCACAGAACCAGAACTGAACAACCAGACAACTGTTTGGCCAAAATGACCTAATTATGCAGACCTCTGGCCCCTGCCCCAATTTTTTCTGTATGCTCCCGTCAGCACCCAAAGACAGGGCTGAGATGCTGGGTCTCATCTTGCCTTCCCAACATGGCCATATTGGTCAGTGCTCCTTTCCTGACTTTCACTGTGACCTTTTCTGTTGCAAGGAGTGGCCAGTCCTGGTTTGTTGGGGCCCCTGAAGTCAAGGCTCCGTTAAGCCCAGGACTCCCATAACATTTCTCCTCCTGTTCTACAAGCTCCTTTGCCCATTAAACCTGAAACTGGCCCAAAAGCTTTTATGAAAGTCTCTGCAAGTTCCCACGTCATGGTTTTAATTTCTCACTAATTTCTCCAGGAATACAGGAGCCAATCTTAAAATACTGTGTAAGTACACTTGTTTATTTCACTAAAAACATAAGTTATGCATAATGGTTTTTGCTCCTCTTTTAATCAAAAACACTCACCAACTTTAGAATGCTGTTGTAAACACACGTGCTTACCAACTACACAGAAAACGTGAGTCATACCTCCTCTTGGTAATTGAGGATGAGACTGGCCCAAATTACATCAAAAGACTGTCTGCAATGGCTCACAAGGACAGAGGGACCTGTCCCTTTGTTCTTTCTGTGCAAATGGAATGTATTTGTCCTTTTTGTGTTAGTTTCCATCTAAACTGTGGAGGGAAGCAGAGTCCTGGAGTGCCTAGAGGAACCATAAGTCCCCAAATTTACATCTACTGGGCTTAGAGAGTACCACAGTCATTTTGAAGAGATGATGGAATTGACTCAATTGTTTTGCCTACATCAATATTAAAATTTGTTTGAATTTCTACATTACAGGCAGCACTGGATACTAGTGATGGTTTTCCATTTGCTGGGTAACTGGGGAAACTAGTTAAGGGTTACAATTTTGCTCTCAATGATTTCTAAAGTGGATCACCTACTACAAGAATGATTAAATTTGGGCAGGGGCTATAGCTCAGTGGCAGAGTGCTTGCCTAGCATGTGTGAAGCACTGGTTCGATCTGCAGCACCACATAAAAATAAATAAATAAAATAAAAGTATTGACAACTACAACTAAAAAAATACTTTTTAAAAAAAGGATAGACTAAATTTTACAAGTCACAAGATAAACTTAGTATTCTCTTGGAGGTCAACTTTTTATAGCCCCAAATATAAACCTTAGCTGGCTGCAACCTCAAAGAACTTGCAGCATTTACTAGTGGAAAGGCCTCACGGATTATAAACAAGTTTGTTCCTCCTGGCATAAGCAAAGCATCTTAAAAACAAAACGGGGATTCTTAAAAGGTTTTCATTTGCCATTTACATTTGCAAGATTAGAATGCTGACATTATTTCAGGGCATTTCCAAGTATTACATCCAGGGTTAGTAACATTTCCACCCATGAGACCTGCAAAACATTGCCACAATAACATCCTCAATTTTCACATATAGTATTTGAGCTGTTTGCTCCTCTGGGATACAAAACCCTGAGCAGTTTTCTGTAATTATGTCAGATATATTTTAAGAAGCACTCTTAGTCTTGAAAAAAAAGAAAGAAAATAATTCTGCAACTCCTGAGGTGTGTTTGTTTTTCCTGGAGAACAGAGGAACTGCAGAATGTCACCTCCATAATGGTGCTTCTTGGTGGGCTCACAGTCAGCCCATCCAGGGCTAACTGAGTATGGTTTGTGGCAGCTATCTCATCCTGCTCTGCAGAAGGGAGGGCTGGCCATGGCCTGGGATGGTTAACATGGATTCAACAGCATTACTCAGTCTAGAAATTAAACTGCAGTTGGAAATGTGCTCCTGTGCACTTCACTGTGAGCTCCAAGCAGCTACCCCATGTGTCCAAGGACAGCTGGTGCTGGAAGAAGACGAGATCTGCCATACCTTCTCTGAGCCCCTGCCACCACCCCAGGTCCACAGAAGCACAAGGCCCCACTCTCAGAAGGGCTTCGGCTTGGCTCAGTGCCCTGTCACTGCCATCTTGAAAGGCTTCACAGCATTTGAACAAGGGTTCTGCATTTTCATTTTGCACTGGGACCACAAATTATGCAGCCACTCCTGCTCCTTCCCACCTCCCCACTGCTTGGTTCACTGGCTCTTCAGTTTGGTTCTGGAATCTCAGATGGCTCCCAACTGCTTCCCACTTCTGGCCTGGCACTTGAGGCCTCACAGCCTCACCTAGGAGCCTTTCTCCTCAGCCCTGTCCCCTTAGTTCACTCTTCCTCCCTCTCTAGTCTTTATCTCTGTCACAGCTCTGGCACTGGCTGGAAGGTAAGACTCTGGGCACTCTCTTCCCTGCCACTTTTGAATTTCTGCCTCTGGGGCTACTTGTTCACGTGATACCCTAACCCCAACTGCTCCTACTTCTTGAAGCTGAAACCTTTGGTGAGGATCCCCATGTCCTGTGCTATGAGCCCCCCAGGTGCCAGGTAGAACTGGGCTATCTCAGGTGTAGAACCAAAAATACTCACTGGATGGCCACCAACAATGGAGAAGTGAACCATTATTCCAAATAATGCAGGGCCAAAACCATCAGAACACTATGTTCATATAAAGCTAGTATGGGCAGCTTGGATTCTCCAGAAAATATAGTCTCAATTCTCTATGTGCTTGTAGAAACAGCTCAGAAATGAGCAGAGTGTGGCCCAGGACCTGGGTATCAGTTTAGAGTTAGGTCCATGCACCAGACTTTCCCCACACTCCTCACTTCGGCAGCTACTCAGTCCTTTGCCACCTCAGCTTTCAACAAGCAGGTGCTTGACCAGAGGCAGAAGACAAGAGAAAGTCACAGAGCATATAGGATCTAATGACAGCCATGGTGACCTGACCGCAGAGTTCTTGCCGCCAAGGGCAATTACGACAAATATAATTAAGAAATTCAGCATTTATAAAGAACCACTGTTTTGTTCTCTTTGATCTGTCTTCTGTACTATTTTCATACTCTTTGAACAACAGGAGGGAAGAGGGAACAAACGGGAAGTGATGGTTAACTGAGGACAGAGACATAAGAGTAAGGAGACTGAGTTTTCCCCAGCTCACACGCTACTGATTCCTGAGATATGGACAATTGATTAATCAGAAAGGCACAGGGAAATGCATACGGAGTGATAAAAACATAAACCCTTTGGCTAGCTTCACATCACCTACCTGTTGGTCAGCAGCCCTATGAAAGGGTTGGTGAGGAGCTGGACGGTGGCTTTGGAGGCAAACAGCAGACCGACTTGCACATTTTCATTGAGAAGGTCTTTGTCTTCACTGGGACAGTCAGAAGGGGCAGAGGACTTGTTGGTCACCATGTGCTGTGTGGTAGCAGCTCTATGCAGCTGTTCCCCATGAAGGTTTCCAGTAGCATTCCCAGTGACCATGGTAGAGTTGTCATAATAGGAGAAGATGCTCTGGAAGCTTCCTGAGGCGGAGGCTGTGAGCGCAGGCCTGGCAGTCTGGATTTCAGTTGCATTTTTCTCATGCTTAATGCTGTATAAGTAACTAGGGATGATGGGGACTGGGACAAGAGCAGAACAAGGCGATGACCACCCCCAAACCCTCCCTCAGACAAAAGCCAGCAAAACTATGGTTTAATCAAAAGCCAAATGAGACCCAATGAAGGGACATATCTACTCCAGAAGCAGGACCACATGCTGGAACAATTTCACATTGCTCGCTCCACTGAAGAGAGCAAAGCCCCAAGACACCCTGGGAGTTCTGTCTATTCTCAGGGGCAGCTGCTGTGCCAAAGTGACTGGCCCCAAAGGTTTTTGTCATTTGTGGGGTTTCTCATTATGGCTTTCCATCAGAAAAAAAAAATGTTTTAAAAAAGCAAAATTTGGGCTGAAGTCAAGTCATTGCTGATCTAGAATCAACCAGTGCTTCTCTGAGAGGCTCAAAAGATTTGTAAATGAATGAAGCAAGGAAACAGGAATCTAAATTTCATGACACATCTACACATCTTAGAAAAAGATAAACCTGCAGGAAGCAATAAATTGGAAATTCTGCAACAGACCGATTTCATCATTCTGTGAGTGGGAATCTGCAATTTCCCACACAACCCGTAAGATTTAAGAATTCTGTAGACTTTCACAAAGGAAAAAGAAAACTGTGTGATACAACAGAAGCTTGGGTGTGTATGAAACAAAGCATTCAAGACAAAGGCAAACTGTTCCTGAACTGGCATGAGCTAGGATGCTCCTGAGCTGAAAACCTGAGGCCCAGAAAACTGTCATGAGAGAACTTGAAAATGGGGAGAGAGGAAATGACCCAGCACTTAAGAATTTGAATGAAAACAGTTTTGGTTTTTTTATTTGCTGCAAATTGGGATATTAAGGGGAAACATGCCAAACACTTTTCTGTTAACGAGGCTAATTAAGAGATCTACATTTTAAGTATTTAGTTTTTCAAAAATCCACTATAGGAAAAGGGATTGTTGCAATTGCTCTTATACTGCGTGCTGAGATGCTTCCATCTCAAATCATCCACTGACACATTTAAACGTCATTTCCTTTATTTAAGGAAGGATCACACCAAATAATTAGCCCACCTTTTCTCGAAGCATAATTATTTGAACGCATTATTTTGAACTCGGGAAACTGCTCCTCTTTAATAGAAATCTTTTTTTTTCATCGCGGTGAAAGTGGGTAAAAGGAAGCAAGAAATTATCAAGAGGAAACATAAGTTTCGGGTCTTATCGGATGTCGCAGTTTTGACCTGACCACCAGGAAAGCCAAGCCACAAACGCAACTCCTTCAAGTCCAGGCACTGCAGTCTTTTAGGGACTTTTTTTTTTTTTTTTTTTTTTAACTTTTTTTTCTTTTGCAAAGCGTGTTCTCCAACTTTCCCAGGCAGGCGCAGAGCTCTGGGACCGCACCTAGGAGGAGGGAGCCCCGGAGGAGGGTGCCGGGAGGGCTGGGGACACCGGGGCGGTACGTACCCACGACGGTCAGCAGCATGTTGTCCAGCAGCAGCGCGAGGAACACGATGAACAGGATGAGCTTTCGCGAGTGGCGGCTCTCCTGCAGCCAGCGGAGCGGTGCCAGCTCGCTCAAGGCCATGGCTCGGGACGCGGCTGCGGGAACGAACGCGGTAAGGGCCGGGGAGCCAGGCAGCCCCCGGCCAAGCGCTCAGACTTGGCGGGGCTGTGAGCAGCGGGTGAGGAGTCGTCCGCGGCGACTGGCGACAGCAGCAAGCCCAGCCTCGCTCACCGGCAGCTAGCGCATCCCCACGAGCGCACGGAGCGTCGTCGGGGACCGACCTGGGACCGCTGGGCTCTGGCTGTCCCGCTCCCCGCCGCGCCCGAGGGTCTCCCCTCTTTGCGGGCTCGAGAGCGCCGTGGACCCCGCTCTCCGTGAGCCCCGCGGCCCGCTTCCCGGGGGCCCCTGGAGCTCCCGCGTGTGGCTTGGGGTCCTCCCCGCTCTCCCCGACCCTCTCTCCTCCGCGCCGTGCAGGGGACAAGACCGGGCTGGCATACCTCGTGTCGCTGGCGGCTGCCTGCAGGCTCCTCACGCCCGCGCCTCCCGGCCGACGTGGGCTCCGTCCGTCCGCGGCTCGGGGTCGCAGTCTCCGCCCAGCGCTCGGCCGCCGCGCTCGGTTTACCCGGTCCGGCTCTGACGTCACGGCCGGCGCGAAGCGGGGGCGGGGGGCTGGGGCGCCCCGGCCTCGCCCACCCCACGTCGTCGCTTGCTGCGCGGGAGGGGCTGCCAGCCCTCCTGTGCCTGAGCCCCGGGAACCTGGACCCTGTGAAGTGGCAGGGGCGCGGAGGGAGGGGATCAGAAGCCGCGGGGCGAGGGGTCCAGGGTCCGCGGAGAAGAGTCAGGGGCTCAGGGTGAGGAGGAGGGGTCAGTGCTTTCTTCTGTCCCAGAGTAGTGACCCGAGCTGCTCTGCACAGGTCGCGTGGTTCTCTGAGCCTCAGTGTGGATGAAATGGTCCAGGGGTACGTGGATGAAGGCAGTGAGGGAAGTGACATCAAAAGGGGCCTTAGGTGTTGGAAGCCAGGGACGACACCAAGTGTTTTGGTTACCTTTTTCATCGCTGTGACCAAAACTTGGAGGTGGAAATTTTTATTTGGAGTTCATGGTTTCAGAGGTCTGGGTGCATAAGCAGCCGTCTCCATTGCTCTAGGCCTAAGTGAGGCAAAACAGGGGGTCACAGCCCCACGGAGCAAAGCTGATCAGCTCACAGCGGCGTCAGGAAGCAGAGAAAGCGGGAAGGGCCCGCAGGTAAGATGCAGCCTTCCAGGACATACCCCAGTGACCCATCTCCTCCAGGCATGCCCTACCTGCCTACGGTTACCACCCAGTCCATCCAAACTAGGATGGACTACTAGAGTACAGCTTTCACAATCCAGTCCTCTCACATTCCTGCACCAATACAGGAGCTTTGGGGGAAACCCCATTTCAAACCCTAACACTGTGGAAGCTATCTTCTGCAACCCACCATTCCCTCCCTTCTCCCACCTCTGCAGCCTGATGCACGTTCCCATTTGGAGTCTTCTGAGCCCTGGGAACCCTCAGGCCAGTGACAGAGATAGGAAAAGAGTGTGCCTCTCAGGGTCAGCCCACAGTGGGAGTGGGGAGAGGAAAGGATCCCAGGCCCTTGAGTTCAAAAGTAGGAGCAACAGGCTGGGACCTCTAGGGCCACCAGGATCACGTGGCTGTAGGCAGAAGGCACTGCCTATTTCTTTGGTGAAGGGCACTCCTCCATGCTGTGACTGGGGTCTGGCTAGGGCGAGAGGGACACAGTGCGTGTTAGTGGCTGAACTCAAGCTCTTCTCCCTACCAAGGGGTAAGAGCTCACCTTGGATTTCCAAGTCCTTTTTACAAAATAGAGACCCCTCTCCCCCCCACACCCCCACCCCATACATACAGCTAGCACTTTGGAGGCCCATCTTCTGGGCCAGAGGAACAGGAGAGATTTTCTTGGAAAGCCACTTAGAATCAGTGTTATCCTGTCACAGTCTCCAGGCAGAGGAGTCTGACCTTGTTTTATTAATGTTCTCCTGCTGACAGCAGGAGTCTGCTCCGAGCAGCAGTGTGATCTGCGGCCATCTCCGCTCTCCGCCTCCTTCCTTCCTTCCTTCCTTCCAGAGACCCCCTGTGCTTCCCATTGCTCCCCTCCCCCATGTGTGAGAAAAGATGGTTGGATAGGTAAGTAGGTCAGTGACATGGGTCTCCAGGAAGTCCCAGGATGTATGTGACTTAAATATTAAACAGGGAGGGAGAAGGGAAACCATGTAGGAGGAGAAAGCAAACGGCAGAGAGCTGTTAAGATGGCCGTGGAGGGATCACATTCCTGGAGTGCCCCTAAGTGCTGGCTTTGGAGCTTCAGAACCCAAAGACACAGGCACCCCAGGGACAGAGAGGCCTCATTCTAAGGATTCTTTCCAGGATGCCTGGGTCCCAGTCTGCTACTTCTTTGATTGGTGAGTATGAGCAGCTTCTGAGCTGGTTCATGCCTCAGTTTCCCCATCTGTCAAGTAATAATTGACCTACTGTTCAATTGGACCTACTGCAGGGTAGTCATGGGAACTAAAGGGGCATGAATGGGCGGCTCTCAGTGAGAACCCAGTCAATGTTGGCCATTCATTCATTCATTCAATAGGTTGAGTGCTTTCCATGTACCAGCACTGTGGTTGCTGCTGGGGAGACACAAATGGCCCAAACAGACAAAATCCTTGCCCTTGAGTGCTTACATCTGGTAGTCACATGTAGTCACATCATAATGGGGAACACAGGGAGCCACACCCAACTCCAGCCCAGCCAGCTGGAGGAAGATGGCTCCAGGGAACGTGCCTCCTACTGGTCTCTGCCACCACTCCCAGGACACGATGGCCTATAATAAAGGCTCCACATTTTTATGACACCCTCTCCATAAGAATTTTCTTTTAAATATGTATGCCTAGCCAGTCAAGCTGGCACACACCTGTAATCCCAACAACTTGGGAGGCTGAGGCAGGAGGATTACAATTTCAAAGTTAGCCTCAGCAACCTAGCAACTTAGGGAGACCCTGTCTCAAAATAAAAAATAAAAAGGGCTGGGGATATTGCTCAGTGGTTAGGCCCCTCTGGTTCAATTCCTGATGCCAAATAAATAAATAAATTGCCTTACACATTAAAAAAAAGTTTAGTTATAGATGGACACACTATCTTTACTTATTTATTTTATGGGGTGCTGAGGATCAGATTCAGTGCCTCACACATACGAGGCAAGTGCTCTACCACTGAGCCAAAAGCCCAGCCCCGCCTTATACATTTTTAAGTTGGCATTTAGAATGGTTTTTTTTATTATTATTACAAATTTGGGACATATTGCATACATAGACCTTCACATAAAAAGCTATCACATCTCTGTTTAAAATGTATCTGATGGAATATAAGCATAAAAATGCAAAACTACTACATTAGATTTAAAAATACAAATGAGTTTCTCTTTTACAGTCAAAAAAATTTACACTGTGTCCTTTGCACCTTCAAAGTATGTTTTCACTCCAGTTCCAACAGAATTTTATCCCACTCTAATCTTTCTGTCCCACAACTTCTTTATTCACCACCCATCTGTTATGTGAAGTGCAACAAATGTGAATATGCATTAACTTTTTAAATTTTTCTTATGGCCACAAGGCTCTAAGTTTTTCAGTTCCCTTGAGGATTGTATGATTATGATAATTATGAATGATACACAAAAGATCAATGTATCCTATATATAATTTGAACTTTGATAAATAATTATTAAACATAAAAAGGGAAATTGCACTACTTAATTAAAATACATTACTTAATTCAATGAATAGGAAGAGAATTTGTTGAGGCTTGATTAAAGAGGCACCAACATTATCCTGGATGCTTTTATGCCTCAGGACATGGTAACAATAAGATGGCCAGAGTTAGGTTGAGTGAGAGGTGAGCCTTTCTTTGCATTCTAGGAGGGACAAAGGATGCTTGAGAGGTAAGGTGATAAAGGGACATTTTTCTGGCTCCACCAATGTGGGGTTGACCTCAGCAGATCAGTTTGAAATAGAGGATATATGGATTGAGGGTCTCAAGCAGCTTGAGAAATCTTCACGTGTGCCAGTGTGCTGGAGATCCAGGGTGAAGAGGCCAGCTTGGGAGTCCCTGCCTGGCCTGGGCTTTCAGACCTTCATAGCCTCCTCTAGTACCGTCCAGCCACACTGGTTCTTCTTCACGTATCTCTCTCTGCCTCAGGGCCTTTGACTTTCTTTACCCTTTTCCTTGTAAGTCCTTCCTCTTTTCCTAGCTACAGATTCCTCATTCTTCATTACCAGCCCTGATATCACTTCCTGGGAGAAGCCGTTCTTTTTTGGACACCATACCCAGTATCAGGAAGGTCCCTCCCTTCTTAGCGGTCATAAAACCAGTACCTCCTCCAGAGTCCTTCTCTCCAGGAGAAAGGATATTCCTTATTGTGCCTAGGGATATCTGTCTCCCCAGGTATCAGGACAGAGGACACTCTTTTTGCTCACTCATCACTGATATTCCAGAACACCCTTTTTGGTCACTATCATTGACATTCCTTAATGAGGTCCTTGCTCATTAAGCACCGCTGTCGCCAGTTAGGCTTCCTTAGCAGTGCAGAGCTGGGGAACCAGAAGGAGAGGTGCCCTTGCTCTCCCCACAGGAGGCCTCGCCAGGAGGAGCAGACTCTGAGGATGCCGCCCAGTGAGCACGTTTGTTGGTTCCCCTGTCCACCCAGCCCCTTGTCTCCACCAACTTGCACCTTTGTCAGGCACTAGGGACTGAGAAGGCACAAAGGTACCACCAGAGGTGACCTCATCATTAAGTCTCACTATTTAGGAATGATACATCACGTGGCCACCTGGGACACAGCAGTTATTTGAAATAGATTTTATTTGAGGGACACTAATCTGAGTGAAAACCAGACAAGGCATCCTGGCTGGGTCACTTTCACACGTTACGAGCTTAGACAAGCAGCCTAACCTTTATGAGGGTGGACTTCTCATCTGTCCCTGGAGCATGGTAATAGTCCCTCCTTCATAGAGTAGTTCTGGAGATGGAATGGGATGAGCCTCGCACGGTGCCCGACACGCACCCTCAGTGAGGTTTCTCAGTTCTTGGGAAACTGCAAGTGCTGAATACAGGGAAGGTGCAGGTGTTCCAGGGGGACCTCGGGTGCTGCCCTCACCAGAGAACTAGGGAACAAGGGACACCAACTTTTCCCTGTGCATTAAGCTGTGAAATTCAAAGGATGGGTGAGAACAGAAGTGAACAGAGCCATCCTGAAGAGACACAGTGGTTCCTAGGCAGCCACCTCCAGTACGCTACCCGCAGAGAACTGGACAGGAACAGGCAGGAACAAGCAGGAGCCCAGTGATTACAGAGCTCATGAAGAGACACTTGGACACACGAGCAATCCGAATTGCCAGTTAAAATGGCAGCAAGACCCAGTGCTACACCTCCAGCACCGGCAACAACAGGAAGTTGGGGCAGGAAATTTGTTGGTGATGGGTAAGTATAGGGGTACCCTTCCCTTGGAGAAGTGGGCTGTGTAGCCTCTGGAAAGCCATCAGGGTTTGGTGGAGTGAGTGCC